TGCACAGCCAGGTATCGGGTATTGGTATCGGGGCCAAAAAATGGCATCGGCGCAACACTACTTTTTACTAGTGTTTGTGTGAGGTTTTCAGTATATTATATGGAAGAGTGTAATTTAATATGTGTATATGCAAGTTAATTCTGATTTATGTCCCTGGGGGCACCTCATATAAATCAACGGATCGTTTAATCTCATTTTGCAGAGTAATTTTAAATAGCACGCCTGTGTCTTGAGAACGATACGAGCATCGATGCCTGGCTGCAGGACATAAATAGGATCTGAGAATCATGAAACTTTCCTATCTCATACTTGCTTGGGGATCCGGTGCAGACCTTTGAAAATCCTAAACTTTGACAAAGTTAGTCGAAACAGACGACCGGGGGAAAACTGAGTCCGTCCCACTGAAAAATTAGATAACATGTCCTGAAGAGCTCCTCATGCTGAAGACACGTGTGGGAATCAAAGCGGCAACCGCTGAGGGACTAAACGGTAACACTTTTTTTTCTGCTGAGCGTGGCTTACCTTTGTTTTCTCTTTCAATTTCCCCTTTCGTCCTGTGTCTGCCATGTTTGTGTCCTTTATTTTTCTGTTTGTAAACGCCGGCTTTGTGGCCTTGTTTCTCCTCATTCGCAGCCATTTTTTTTACCACGTGCAAATGTCAATTATTGCACTTCCTGATTTCTGTGACGTCAAAGCAGAGGCGTGTTTTCAGATTTATTTATTTTTCTTCAAAATAAAAGCCGAATAAATATAATTATTAAACACTTTTGCCCCGTACAATCATGGGGGAAAAAAACTACGATTTGAACTTTTACTTTCTTGAATACTTTGGTTATAGAAGCTTCTTATTAAAAAAAATACTTGATAATAATAAACAAAAACAAAAAAACAAAAAAAAAATGTTTTAAACAATTAGGATGATGTTGGATTGCTCCATTCTTGGTAATCATGGGATCTACACAGGGCCCTGTTGTAGCTGCTGTACTAATAAAAAACACAACAGCAAAATAAATAAATAAATGTAAAAAGATGTTTTTGCAGTGCAATACTAAATCAACTTCTTATGATGATGTGTGATCACAGAATAGACCATACATGATGAATTCCTTGAACCAATTTTATATTTTGCCTTGACAATTTACTTTAATAATTTATAATAATTTATTTACAATTTACAGTCAGATTTAAGCTTCAGTCATACTGAGATAGAATCACAGTTTTCATCTGCTGGATCAGGAGTACAACCTTGGTTTTGTGGCTCACTTAATACACTAAAAGGATGTTCTCTTAATAATCATGGCCCCACCCTGGCCCCCGTGGAAAATTTTCCTATAGAACTGCCCTTCCTGGTAATCGCACCTGGCCAAAGGAAGGGCTCTGTTTGCGAGAAAACATTTTAAAAGGTATCAAGACCACATAACCCTGTTTGTCTTTTTAGCAGTGGAGAGGAGTTTCTCACCAGAGCTACGTAATAATCCACTAATAAAGAAATCCAAAACAGTTTTTTTGTATGTTTGTTTTTTTACAGTAAAAAAAAAGAAAATTTTCAACAGATAAAACTTGCACATTTGTGACACTAGAAACATCTCAACACTCCATCACATAATAATATAAGAATAGCATTGGTATAATAAAATGTTATGCTGATTGTTGTGCTTTCAATTCAAAATGTAGAATCAGTTTTCTGGACTGAACGCATCTGAAGTTACAAAAAACCTATAAGTAATTCAATCAACAGCTGAAAATAGTTTCATTCAAGGTAAAGGACACGAACTTGTAACAAAGCCATCTATTTAACCTCTCTGCCACAGCTTTTAAAACACTGAATATATATTTTGAGTTTTAACATGTTGATTTGTATTATATAGAATTTAAACTTAAATTTCCATCCACAGTTCCATAAAACTCATATTTTAGTAAAAATATAATCCGTCACTTGCCAGATGTTTCCCAATGTTCATAGTAAACTTGAATAAAAGCATCTTCTGTTGACTCTTATGTGTTACTTCTATATTGCCATCTACTGGTCGATAAATGCCCAAAAATCATGTATATTCGCAACCTTTTAATTTGTCATTCACACATTGGTAAAAATATTGGAAAGATCAACTTACAATTAAGTATACGTAAAGTTACAAAATTAATTGATATATTAATACATTAGTCAAAATGCTAAAGTTTCAATATATTTTGTGAAAAATGTGATCTGTTCATAATACATTACTGGTTATGCACAATGAACTGCAACATCATCAAGTCAAAACAGCTTTATAAATTAAACTATTGATTTTATCATTACATATATATATATATATATATATATATATATATATATATATATATATATATATATTATGCCTTTTTTTGGCTCTTGAGATTGGGATAAATTGCTTTGTTGAGCAGGATTGGGCCTGTTGACCAAAGTTAAAAGGCACCAAATGTGTCTAAAAATACAAAATGATTTGTTTTAGTTTTTTTGCAGGCTATTTAAATGGGTGATTCTCTCCTGAAAATCATTAAATTTAATATTGCTGAAGTGAAAGAAAAATTTTGGGGAGTAGGATTCTTTGTCTACCTTAGTTGTGTTGAAAGATAAATCACAATAACAAGAAAAGGATTATTGTAGGTCAACTGTTTTCATTTTTTTTTCAAACCCTAAACAATTGAAGAATGTATTTAATTAAGTATAAAAGACTTCATTTCTTTATTAGAACTACAGAAAATACATCAATTTGCTAAATTCCAGAATAATCCAGAAGAGTAACCTTTTTTCCAATATCATAAATAGCCTATGTTATTTAAATTTAGAAGTTTAAAAATAGTGGATTTCTATTCTATAGAATAGCCTTTAAACTGTTTTACTGGGATCAATTATTTTGGATCAATAACATTCCACAGCTTTTCACAACAGTTTACTCTAACATCAACTTAAAAAAAAAAAAAAGAACTTTTAACTGCCATCTATAGGATTTTTCCTTTTGTGATGGAGTTGATAATTCAACATTTAGCACAAAAACATGAAAATCCATGGGAAACACAACACTCCCTTAGTGTTATGATAGCGTGACATTCCCATTTAGCTGATAACATGTATGTGTTTGAACAACTAACTCTATGACATTAGGGTATCTAAAAACTGTATCCAATAATTAAACAGATTGCAAATCATACATTATCTTCCTAATGTCTCATATAATCATTTTATTATTTATTTTTATAGATGCCATACAATGAAGCAGTGCAGATTAGCTATAGTTGTTCCTTCAATTAACTATCTGCTGTGATTTTATCTTCTATGTAAACATCTGGTCTCAAAATATTCTTAAAATGTAAATGAAATGCAGTTTCAAATTCTATTTTCTTATTTTGAGGTCATACTGGTAATAATTTTCATCGAGGAACATTTGGCTAAACACAGTTGTCATCATTCTCAAATATAAACATGATACAGTTTAAATTGAATCATAGACTATAGTGTTCCAAAGAGGATATATTTTGGATAAAATGGTGGATATGGTTTTTATGGAAGAGGATTAGGGCCACTGAAAAAAAGTATAAAAAAAGAAAACTGATTTTTAAATTTTATTTCAGTACAAAATTCTGACTTTAATCTCAAAATTCTGACTTTTTAGCTCACAATTCTGAGTTAATCTCAGAATTCTGACTGAATTCTGACAGCTAAGAAACATGTTAGCATCAAGCCGTAGCCATATCTGTTTTGGACATCAGCTCCCTTGTTTTAATCACCTTCTGCTCCTCCATTAATGAAATAGCATCAAGGGGGACCCCTCGGGCACGTAAAAAGTTGCTTAATTGTGTCATTTTTCACCAGTGCGACACTCCGACCACTCACATCTTTGTCAGTGAAACTGAGTGCTCCCACATCTCTTCCTTCATGGTTCCCATCTGAATTAAGATTCACAATTCTGAGAAACAAGTCTGAATTCTCAGAAAAAAGTAAATTCTGAGAAACAAGTCTGAATTCTGAGAAAAAAGTAAATTCTGAGAAAAAGTCAGAATTCTGAGATTAAAGTCAGAATTCTGTGATTAAAGTCAAATTCTTAAGTTTAAAGTCAAAATTCGGAGGTTAAAGTCAGAATTCTGAGATTAAAGTCAGAATTCTGAGGAAAAAAGTCAAAATTCTGAGATTAAAGTCAGAATTCTGAGATTAAAGTCAGAATTCTGAGATTAAATTCAGAATTCTGACTTTTCCCCATATTAAACTGAAATTTTAAAATCAGTCAAGTGTTTTTTAATTTTTTCCAGTATACCTACTCCTCTTCCGTAGGTTTTACTATTTTGGTGTTGTTATTTATTTGTATTCTACATTTTAAAAGTGAACGAACCTTTAAAGGTGTTGTGTTGTGAATTGTGCTCCAGAGTTTCCGCCTGTGGATGTTCCTGGGTCAGTGAGAGTTTATTGCAACAGGCAGGGCGGAACTGCAGTTTGAAACATGTCGAAGAGAGGATCTTAACATAAGTTACAGCTACCAGTGGGGTCTATTAAACCTCCAGTTCGTTGAACGACCTCGCGTTATACTGCGGTTAGGGTGTTTAGGCGTTGCTGAAACTTTTTTTTTTTTTATTCTCCTCCAACGTATTTTTCCCGAAGAGAGGCGGCGGCGGTGCGCTCGGCAGCCATCTTTGGAGCTAGTCTGGGAGTGGGAGCTGGCTACTGTGGCACCCCACTTAACTTATTTCTATCTCTGCTCATTTCACTGACGTACGGAGGGTGAAATCGGCTGACAACGCGAAGAACCACGAGGATTCAACGCATTAAAAACTCCCATCCAGGGAATGAAACTGGAAAAGTGTTTTATAACCCCAAACTGTTTTAAGTGAACACCAGTCTCCTCATCGCCCAGAGCTGGCCTGTCAGCAGGGTGAGTTTCAGCTAGCCGGCTAAGCTAGGTTAGCAAACATCAAGCTTGTATTTATTTATTTTTATTTTTTTGGTTGAATTTTTGCATGATTTAGAACCAAATTGTATAACCCAATCGTTTGTGAGCTGTTAAATAACTCTTTACACGTTATGAACATTGCTTGAACTATTTTATACCAAGATACGTAACTTGGCTAGCGTGAAGTTTTCTGCTAACATTACCTTGACAACATTGTGAATCATTTGAAGCCTTCATAAGCTAAAATGAAAGACACATTTTAGGTCTTAGTTATTTTGTGTGAAAATCTATTTCAGACCCAAATAACTGGTAGTGTTGTGACTGCTTTCAGGAAACTAACCAATGTAGAAATTGATAATTGATTTTTAAAGGAAGTGTGTTATCACTTTGACATGAACAGAAACGCCCAGGTAAAAGAGATGAAGTCCCTAGCAGTAGGCTAATCACCTGGGCTTATGAAGCATAATTTGAATATTTAAACAGTTTTTAGTAAAGTAAACCAATTTCCAAATGTTTTCATGTTTCACAGCGGAAAGAAATTAGAGCAAATTACTGAAAACTGTATTTGTTTGTTTATTTTGTAATGTGGATGAGTCTTCTGTTTGATTTCAAATGAAATGATTGCTTTTATGGGTAAAAATTAGAAACCACGTGTATCTCCTAACCTTTCTACTTTTAATTTAAAATGCAATAGCTGGATTTCCAAATCAGGTAAAAACTAGCGTTTTATAAACTGACATTCTGTGGTAATCTTTGTCCTTTTAATCTAATTAAAAAGAAAAATAGGTGTGGTAATAAACTCAAAAGGTTTGACTTTTAAGTTTATTAACTATTAACAATTTCTTTATTACTGTTTGAATATATTTTCCACCATTTAAACAGCGACGGCTAATATTTGGCTCTGAAGCATATGTATATTCTGATCACAATATTTTTTCCAGAATAAAATCTTTTGTTAAATAGTTAAACGAAAATGTAAACAACTTCTATTTTGGGATGAAAACTGGACATTGCACAGAGTATTTAAGTATATGCTTAAGTACCAAGTGTATTGTGAAAAATTGTTCTAGTAAATATTATATGATAGACATTAATGTCAACAGTAAGCTGCAATAACTTCATTGTTAGGATCTGAAATGGATTCTGATTTGGATTATTCTACTTCCCTGCGGTGTTTTTTTTTTATTAGTTTTGTTTTTACTGTCAAATTTTTCAGTGCATGTTTGTTCTTGCTTTTGTGTGAGGGATGCTAGATGTAACATGTCTAGATTCTTACTAGGGCCCATTCCTTCCTCGCTAGATCTGTACGAACAGGAAGTGCTGAGAAATGCAGCGCAGTGTAGTGAGAGCATACATCGGGAATTCCAGCCCTCCAGCTTTGTTGTCCTGTCCTGCTGCATTCTTAAGTGTTTAGTGAGTCCCGGTTGAAAGGCTGGTCCTGGTATATGAAGGCATCAGTTACCAGGACATTTTTCCCCGATTTTTCTGTGCTCCAAAAAACCGTATATTGACATATGACAACAAAGCTCCTTGAATAGCACCAATGTTATAAAGGACAATGGAAATAAAGTTGCACAGCCCTGCATATGGTAATGAGGTTTTATTTCATGGCTGTGGCTGCATCTGTGTAGAATAGTGGGTTGTTCAGTGTTGTTGTGAGACAAAAGACGTCTGCTGGAACTGGGGGCTGTTTCTCTCGGGCTGGGAAAGAAGTCTTGTGACTCTAACGTCAGCTCTGCATCTGTTTGCAACTGATCATCTGAGAAGCATGGACTCAGTAAATTTTCCTCAGCGATCTTTTACAGTCTGCATTAGCAGGGCTGTTATAACAACAGTTAAGTAATGGAATTTCTAATCTTGACAGCCTAGTTGTCTACTTGAAATGATATTTGTTTCTGTAATTTTTCTTTTCCTTTTTTTCTTTCTTTGGCTAATAGTATATTTTAGGTGGGTTTTTTCTGATAAGAACTTTTAGATGCCCAACTTTTGAACCGTCATAAGCAGCAGAAAGTAAAGTATTTATTTATTATAACACTACAAAATTACTTAAGGGTGAAATAACCATGTTTTCTCTCGTTGTGGCAGGTTTTTTATAACTTTTCATATCACAATCAGCTCGTTTTGATCAGGGGCTGTTTTCATCACCTAAATCTTCTCTTTTCCCTTAGTTAAAAGTTTTCCAGTGCCTCAAAACAGCAAAGATCTGGATAGAATATAGCTCTAACCCATATACTAAGCACTCTGATTAAACCCACAGAGCGATGTATACTGGATAAATGTTTTAATAATTCCTCCCCCACTTTTGGAATGGGTTTGGGACATCAGTTGAGTCCTCTGTATGCAGCCCATCCTTACTAAGAATGAACTTCTGCTGACTTAATGCAACTCCCATCAAGTGATTTCTTGTGTGTCTTCTGGTCAAAAATGAAAAAAAAAAAGCTGTATGTTTTTTCAGTGTTCTCTTTAATATGTTAAAATCTTCAGTGTCTGTGTACTGACTCTTAGTTTTGTAAAGTCGCACATTCATTTCCCTTTATTTTTGTTTTCCCTTTATTTTCCTCCTATCATATACCTTTAGCTGCTTGAAGACTCTTTATGCATTTATGCTTTCTCACAGATGGTCAAATGAAAAATCTTTCACATAAATGAAAATCATTTTGTATAACTTTGTTCTAGATTTTAATAGCTAACAATTTAATTAGACAGTTGAATGATTATTTGGTGATGTCAGTTATGTGTAGTGTCTTTAAAGGCCAGAACACACCGAATCCAATTTTGCGTCTGACAGAAAATGTTGTTTAGCGCACATTAAAAGTAGGGGTGTGCAAAATAATCGTCATGATGATGCATCGTGATTCTAATTTTCGTGATCTACTGCATCGATTCTTGATGCCAAGTATCGATTATTAATTTAAAAAAAATAAATAAATAAAATTGCATGAATGGTTGGCAAACATTAGCCAAAAACAAGTGTAATACAACTTCCAGTCCAGTAGATGTTGCTGCAAATGTGTTGACGCACGCTGCCTTGTGTCACAAGCATTTCCGGCTGCGGGATACTGTGCCGAGTCATTCAAAAACAAAACATGGAGGATAAAATATTGCAATGCATCGCAATAATTCAAGTATCGTGATGCATCGTGATAGAATCGCATTGTGGCCTGTGAATCGTGATTCGAATCGAATCGTGACTTCTTTGGCAATACCCACCCCTAATTAAAAGTCAATGGGAATGATCACACCCGACAAGATTTTACGCAAGGGGGCCTGCGTAAGTCTGACTGAGACAGACCCCAGGTCTGTTTTAGTTGGACTACGCAACAACTCAGGAACAATTTTATAGGTGTGACACGAAAAGAGACGTGGTCACATAGTAAAACGCATCCGCTTTTGGGGGAAAATACTAATTAAAATCTTTTATTTGCACAGGGAAAGATTCTGGTTTGCACATCGCATATATGTTAAGCTGGACAGACTCTTGCAAAAACAATCAATGAAACATAAAAAAAATGTAATACTTGACACACGATATGAGTTCAGGAGGACAGAAAATGAATAAAGTCGTGATCATCTTTGAGCCTCGCTAAAACAATGAGGGTCAGAAACCGCAGTTTATCAATCTCCTTGGGGGGGGCTTTAGGAGGACAGAAAAACGATACAGTAAAATATTGATCTTTGAGCATCACAACAAATAAAATTGACAAGGGGCAGAAAGATCAGGTAAGTGTAATGAAAAAAATAATCGGATTGGAGATTGAAAAGTCTTACGCAACCTGTCTGTTCAGGCCTTAATAGTACTTGTGTTGGGTAATGATGGTTTCCTTCTTCCCCTCCTCTTCAACAGTTTTGGTAATTTCTGATCAGATTTTTTTCAGGTATAAAAGGAGGCACTTACTATTCAATGTTTTGTACTAGCAGTGACAATTTGCTTCGGTTATGTTTTGGCAGGTATTTTTCTGCTGGAAGTTGCTTGAAAGTTGTTTTTAATTGATCAGAATTAACTATCTATCGTGTATTAAATTAATCCAAACTGACATTCAGTTTTGTTTCTCTTTGCCTTGCAGCTCAGAATACATATGAAATCACTGTCCTGCAGATGAGTCGTCACAGGGGGCTTTTCCGTCGCTGTCGCAGACCCAGATAGTTCCTGGCGACGACGGCATTGCCCCCAACCCTTCATTATGCCCAATAATAGCCGGGCGGGGAACCTGAAGGACCCCGAAATCGCAGAACTCTTCTTCAGGGAGGATCCAGAGAAGCTCTACACAGATCTAAGTGAAATTGGACATGGTAGCTTTGGAGCTGTATATTTTGTGAGTATTTTACTGTATATGTAATGATGCTCCTGTCTGTTAATCAAACCCACTAATTTTCCATTTATTACTTTCTTTCAATCGCTGTTCATCAAATGCATCAAAAGCAAAACCCTTTTATTTCTTTGTAACCTAAGGCTGCAGCTGTCAATCATTTTACTCATCGATTAAACAAAACAAAAAAAATTAGTATAAGTAAGTTAATATACCAATAATAGCATTTGAAGTAAAACAAAAAAAAGTCAACATTTAAAAGCATTAAAATTGGCAAAAACATTGGAAACTAAAAACAAACAAATCTGAGGTTATAAAAATAAATGTCACTTGAATCCTAGACAAAGGATTTTTAGAGTTCAGAAAGATTTTTTTATTTTAAATGCAAAATAGTTTTTTTTTTATTTTGTACTGCGCTATTTGTGTACTATTGCTATTTAATGGGGGCTCTTTAAGTAAATATTTTAGGGTCTGTATACTTCAGTGAAGAATATTTAATGTTTAATGCTTGATTTCTTGACAATTTTCTCAATCTCGAATAATTTCTCGACTAATCTGATTAGTTGTTTCAGCTTTAGTATAAACACACAGAGAAGCAGCTTTCTGTGTAGATTGATGGAGAGATACATCAGCCGATATTTTTTTTTCTTTTCTAGGTATTGGCTGATGTATGCATTTTTATTTCAAATAATTAGAGCACTAAGCAGGCATGTTGAGATCCTGTAAAGAGCATACATTGCTAGTCCATTACATATCCTTTTGTTTTAAATGGTTTACAAATGTCTTTCTTCTTATTTTTTTTTTATTTATTTATTTATTTATTTTTGTCTAACTTTATAATGTATGTAACATTTTTCGTCATTGTCACTTTTGTCACATAATTGGAGGAAGAAAAAGCATTAAGGGCTTCAATAATCAGCCAAAAATATCAGAAGTAGATATTTGGGGTCGTAAAGACTGATGTCAAAATAATTGCTATTAGTCTTAAAACTTTATCAGTTGACCTCTAGTATTTTTTTTTCTTTTGTCTTGTGTTGTTAATTTTGTTTTCTACAAAACGGTTTATATAAAGGTTTCAGAAATATTTTGTCATACATAAATGGAAATGATTTCATTTAAATTAATTTGCTCTTGGAATTAAATCTATTGCTGCTATCAAATATTATGCAGGAACTTTGTTCAGTTACTGAATAAAAAAAAAAAAGTTTGCAGCTTTTCAGGTGTATCTTTATAGATGAATTTGTAGTTCAGTTCTTCAGCAATACTTTGGAACTTTAGCGTTAAAAGACTTTCTTTGTTTAAAAAATGTAAGTGTAAATTTATTTCTAACGATTCTACCAGATTTTTAGATTATACTTTTTTCATGATCAGAACATCATATGTTTTTGTTTTAATGCTTCAGTAGCAAACTGTTGTTTTGATACTTAAGACAATACATTTTGCAATTTGCCTCTATGCATACAGATAAAATGTAGAATTTACAAAAGTCTGACAGCACAAGTGTTCTCATTCAGTCCAACAAAGAAAATTTTGTAGTAAAACCGCTTAAAATTCTAATCAGTTATTTTCACCTCCCAGGCACGTGATGTGCGGACAAATGATGTGGTGGCCATCAAGAAGATGTCCTACAGTGGGAAACAGTCCAATGAGGTATATTTGCCTTTCCAAACCTTTTTCATAATAAAATCATCTGTGCAGATCTGTCCCTGAGATTATTAAAGTCTGTCTCAACCATTTAGAGTTGCAGCATTGACTGGCATTGTTAAAGTCAAAACATATATTTATATATAATGAAATGAAGTCAGAATGTGTGGGACAGGCTTAAAATCTGACTTTTCTTCATTTTAGCTTACCCAATGGTTTATGTTATTCCAGTAAGTATTTATCTGCAGTTTGTAGAAAGTTACAGATTCTATGGCAAGAAAAATTATCATTAGGCAACTCAACATTCTGTTTAAGCAACTTTTTTATTCAGATTTTAAATCAAGTTTTTCCTTGGATAGAAACAAATTTAAGTATACTTAGCTTCTTTATCTTGTAGTGCTGCAGCAGTTCACATTATAAGAATATTGTATTAAAAGTACTTTGTTTGTCTTTAGAAAATGCAAACTCTTTAAGATTTAACAGAATAGTGAAAAAAACAAAACAATGTAATATTTAGATGTGATGCCTTAATAAGTTTACCCAAACAGTTGCACATGTAAAGTTACATTCAAATGTAGATAGTTTTGACAGGCGTGTAATCATACTTTGTCACAGTAGTATGCAGAAGTAATACATTTATCTCAAACCATTATGTTTTCTTAAATGAAGTAAGGTTAAAGATTTTTCTTTATTGGTAAAATTTCTTTCTGAGCTTTCTGGGGGAATGACTTTGATGAATTCAACCCAGTAAAACAGAATGGCATCTTTTGTGAAATAATATGTTGGTTCTCTGATTTTTTTTCTTTCTTGTTTGCTATTCATGCTGATTTCACAGAAATGGCAAGATATAATCAAGGAGGTGAAGTTCCTGCGAAGAATACAGCACCCAAACAGTATAGAGTACAAAGGATGCTACCTGAGAGAGCATACTGCTTGGGTAAGCTTTTCTATTAACATTAACATCAGCCATAATGAAAAGTTACCAGATACCTTAATTATGAAAAAAATTTTTAATTAGAAATATTTTGCCAATACTTTAATTTAACCTGTTAACTGTGCGTTGGGCATCAATAGGTCCTAAGTCTTAAAGAGCCAATAGGTTTGAGCCAAGGCTAACTGTAAAAGGGACAATCCAAATACACACACAGTGGGGTTTCCCCTCATTCTACCCATTATTTTGCTCTTGGTCTAATATAATTTGGGTTGCAGTAGCAGAGACCCATTGCCAACCCAGTCCTTCAATGCTTGGTCTTTATTTGGCATTTCTTTTCGTTTTGTTTTTTAGTGGTTCCTGCTTTACTGTCGTGCCTCGTTTCCTCCTCCCCTTCCATCACCTTTTAAAGCTGGAAGATAGAAGCTTATATCACAATATCTTTATTATTTTTAGTCAATACGATATACAGTAATTACAGTATTGATATAAACCAAATGTAAACATCAGAAAGACTGCAAAAAATGCCCACTTATTACAATATTCTAACAAGTTTCCAATATAATTTAACATGTAGTAATTATTGGTTTAAAAATCAAAGCACATAAAACACAGAACGTAAGATGGTGACAAATGCTATAATCGTACAATGTTATTAAAATATCAGAAATGTGTGTAAAAGTCGTGTCACTAGTATTGAGTAAAACTATATTGCGATATGGGATTGTCCTTGGTGCTAATACGTAATTTTAGGAAAAATAAGAAGTTAAAATGAATGAGCCAAAACACTGGTGCATCAACGGTCCCCATAAGTGCTGACTGTAAAGAAGGAGGTAGGAAAAGGAGCCTGTAGGATTCCTATCACAGATCCTTAATCATAAGGAGCTCATGAGGTCCCTCACTGAGGAGCTTTGAAGAGTATAAACACAAAACGCCTAATAGAGATCCAGAGAACATTATTGCTTCACATGTACTTTATGTGATGCATGAATGTCACACAGATTAATACATTTGTGTAACTTGTATTTTTGTAGTTGTTTTCGTTTTCTGTGGTTTCAGTTTGACTAGCATCATCCATGTGATTTCTGTTGTGTAATGATGTCTGCAAGGCTGAAGGCTTGCTGCACAGCAGTCTAGAGTACTTTTCCGATAGTGTTCTTCAAGTTGGCCACATTAAGGAGAAAGAATTGTTGCTAGAAACAGTATCTAGGTGCTCTAATCTGATATGTTTAGATAGAGCCTATGATTTTATATCCCACTCAAAAACAAAAACGGCAAAAAAAAAACTCATCCATTTATCCCGGACTGTGTCACAGTGGCAGTAATCTCAGGAGAGCCTCCCAGACTTCCCTCCTCCAGCTCATCTGGGGGAAGCCTGAGGAGTTCCCTGACTAGCCAAGAGTCTCTCCACCAAATCATGGACTCTCCCCTGGGCCTCCTCCTGGTGGGAGGGTCATGAAAAACTAAAAAATAAGAGTATATTTGAAAATCCTAACATGCCAAAAATAATACAAGAAAAACAAGGAATGGACAATATTGTGATCATTTTGATTCAAAATTTAACGCAAGATCAAAAGATTTATTAGTTGAAGCTTAAAGTTTTTGAACAGAGATGAAAAGAGCTTTTTTTTTTCTTTTCTCTCCCCAACAGCTGGTAATGGAGTACTGTCTTGGCTCAGCTTCAGATTTGTTAGAAGGTGAGTAAACTCTGACAGTACACGGGAACTTTGTTTCACCTATGCACATTTTCCATAATTTCCTCATGCTTTCCTCATGATTTCTTTTTTAGTTCACAAGAAACCCCTAGAAGAAGTTGAAATAGCCGCAATTACTCATGGTGCTCTTCAAGGATTGGCTTATCTCCACTCCCACAACATGATTCACCGGTAAGCGTATTTCAAGCAAACTTCCGTGTTAACACTTGTTTCTCCCATTCCAGGAAAACTTGAACTTTTTTCCTGTATGTTTCAGAGACATCAAGGCAGGAAACATACTGTTGACAGAACCAGGTCAAGTGAAACTAGCAGACTTTGGATCGGCCTCCATTGCTTGTCCAGCAAATTCATTTGTTGGGACACCATATTGGTAAGTAAACAGGCATGCACAGGGGCATCTAATGAATAGAATTTAGTTAAAAAATAAATCTTTTAGGAAATTTAACAAGAATAAAATCCATCTATCCCCATCCCTTGCATCCAATGGTGGTTGGGTAAGATAAAGGGGTGCACTGAGGAGGTCAACAAAAACATTTTCATAAAGAAAACATGGGCTGCTTAATAGTTTTTATTGGTACCAATGAGTAAAAGTCTGGTGCAGGATTAGCTTATTTGTTGTAACCAATGGCCTGGATATATTTGGCTTAAAGTCCACTTATTCCATCTACTCCGATATTCCAGATGCTCCCTAAATATTTTATGGCTTTGATTAAGGCAACATTTATCCATGTTGCTTGTGCATGATTTTCTATAACAGGTTTTTCTTTCACTTAACTTTTTTACAATACGTTTGTGAAGAGAACGCTCTGAAAAGCCAGCATCTTTAGCTGTGATGTTTAGTGTCCAACCTTCTTTTGTCAAGGTGTCACATTAATTGGAAGCCGTAATTCATCAAAGTTACAATAACTGCAATAAAAACTTTAAATACCATCTAAATTGTACTCGCGTTTTGAATTTTACATTGGATAAAAAAAATAACTTTTCAATGCTAATTTAAGATGCACACTGAGATGCGACAGTATATCTAGTAAAAGTTTAAGTATTTGTGATTTTTTTTTTTTTTTTTTCTTGTTTGTTCTTCCTTGTCTGTCTTTTTAAAATTGAGCTTTTTGCTTACATAATTATCTTAGATTGCATTATGTTTTATTCCCAGGATGGCCCCTGAGGTTATATTAGCCATGGATGAGGGTCAGTATGATGGAAAGGTGGACATCTGGTCTTTGGGAATCACCTGCATTGAATTAGGTATGTCGCTTTTACAAGGATTACCTTTTTCAGTGTTCAAATGTTGCACTCAATCAACATTACTTTGTCACTTGACTGGTTCCTTTTACAGCAGAACTATTTTCCAAGCATTGCTGCCACTGATGTGACTTTGTTCATACATAACTTTCTAAAGGTTTCCGTGCACAGGCATGTACTTGGTCTGCATTCCTTTTACCTGGTAAACCACGGATTCTAAAGGTGTGGATGGCACCAAGCATTTATGTTTGTTTGTGTTTATTCAGCCTATAAATTCTTGAATACTCCTCCTGCATATATGTGTCTTGATTATGCATTCCCAGATAAATTAAGAAACTTGTTGGATTTATCCAAGTTTAAAAAATTTATTATAACAAATTTGGGTGTACCAAAATCTGTGTAAATAATATCAATCAATCGATGATCACTGAAATATACTGCATAGAAACGGCCTCCGTATTTGTATTTTAACCATTTTTTCATGGCTTGCATCCATTTTGCCTAATTTGATTTTCTTTTTTGATTTTAGCTGAGCGGAAGCCTCCCCTGTTCAACATGAATGCAATGAGTGCCTTATATCATATTGCACAGAATGACAGCCCTGCCCTGCAGTCCAGTGAATGGTAAGAGAAATTAGTTTGTTTCTGCAGCGGTTCAAAACAGGATGTTCTGTAATGTACTATAATCTAAGCTTTCTGTCATTTTATTATATTTCTTTCACTCTGCTGTAGGACGGATTATTTTCGAAAATTTGTAGATTCTTGTCTTCAAAAACTTCCTCAGGAAAGGCCAACCTCTGAGGAGCTCCTAAAGGTGGGAAGTTTAAAGATTCTTCTTAGCTTTATGGTCAGTTTGTTTTTAACTTCAACAAAGGTTCGACATTAATCTTTGATTTCTTTTTTGGCTCACAGCATGCATTTATCCAGCGCGAACGACCAGAATCAGTTTTAGTAGATCTGATCAATCGGACCAAAGATGCAGTGAGGGAACTAGACAATCTGCAGTCTCGTAAGGTGAAGAAGATCTTGTTTCAGGAAGCCCACAATGGCTCCACAGCCGAGGCACAAGATGAAGATGAGGTCTGTCTCTTTACCTTTTATTCTATAAAGCTATATTTTTTTCGTTGTTTTACCCTTTTATTGATTCTTGAACCGTATGTGCAGGAGCCAGAGAACAGTGTTAGTAGGACGGGCACAGTGAACAGTGTTGGCAGCAACCAGTCCATACCCAGTATGTCTATCAGTGCCAGCTCCCAAAGCAGCTCCGTCAACAGTCTAACTGATGCAGGCGATGACGAGAGCGAGCCGGACATGGATGGAGACGGCACGGTGATGTCCAACAGCTCGGTGATAAACCTCAAACCTGTAAGATTAATGTCCCACTGTGCTGTGTACCAGTGTTTCCCCTCATCATAACAGCGCTGTTGTTTTAATGCGTTTATGTGTATTTTTTTTTTAGCTTGACAAGTTTGCTTCTTTTTCAGGAACAAGAGATGCGTAATGAGGAGTCGGAGCCTCACAGCAGAACCACAACCGAGCCACAATCTCCTCCTGCGCAAACTCAAAGGCCTAGACGAAACCGTGAAGACTTTGCAACTATACGTACAGCTTCAGCGGTAAAATACTCTCTATCCTTACTAGGGATGTGGAAATGAACCCAAAGAATTTGCACTGTTACTTACACCTCCAACTAATATTGATAATTATTGATAACTAGGGATGTCCCCATCAGATATTAATGGAATTCTTCTCTAACATCTCTGATATTAGAAACACTTGGCTTCAATCCATTTTTCCCCACCATACTCATCTCCCTGCAGTTACCACTGTCCTTCTCCTGGGCAGCCATAGTCTCTCCCTCTCCTTCAGTGTTCTGTCTCTCCACTGTTCTCCTCTGTTCCTCCGCAGTTAGCTTCTATAGCTACCCCGAGCTAGCTTTAGTCTCTATCCCTGGATAGTGAATGTAGCACATAAACAATATGAGGGTAAAAATGAAGCATGTGTCTAACCCTGTATATAATCTGGCCTGTTTACTTCTAGTTTATTTGCTAATTTTAGAATTAGAGACTTGGACTTGACAACTTTTATTGTCATTAAATGTGTTTTGTATACAGTCTGTGTATACAAATCAAAATGTAATTTTGTACAGCTTTCATGGCATTTCCGTTTCTAAAGTGCAGCAATGATCAAATGTAAACCGTGTGGGTCAGCTGAGTAGGTTCTCACAGTTTATATTTATAGTTTTAACAGCCATAGGCTATCCTAACAGTGGATTTATTTTATTACTAACCGCTACCCTTTAATAGGAAAAGTACAGCACGGGTTTGATCATAAATACTTTGTATTTAGGTCATTTATAATCCAGTACAGTTTGCTATAAGCTGATCATATGAATCTTCCGCTCTGACTGTTGTGGTTTTTGCACTTTTCTGATTTGCCAGTGGACTGTTTTCATACTAATCATGTGAATGAGTCTAAATTTATATAATATTAAATGATGCCCTTTAAAGCATTGTTGTTAGAATAATCTTTTTCTGAATATAATAATGTAGCATGTCTATTGCAATATACGAGACTTGTGATCTCATCTGCATATGTGCTGGTTATGTTTTTGAGGGCAACAAAGATAAAACAAGACATTAATAATCCGAGTAAAGCAAACTAGTGATCCACATTTGCAGTCACTATGGAATTGCAACTTTACAGTTTGTTTTTCCATCTAAAAAATGTGTTTCTATGACGCTAATTAAAAACCGCTTCTTGGGTTTTTCAGCTTACACGCCAGATGAAAGAGCATGAGCAGGAATCTGAACTAAGAGAGCAGATACTAGGCTACAAGCGAATGAGACGACAGCATCAGAAACAACTGCTAGCTCTGGAAAACAAGCTGAAGACTGAAATCGATGAGCACAGGGTTCGACTGGACAAGGAGCTGGAGACCCAGAGGAATAACTTTGCTCAAGAGTTGGAAAAGTTGGTCAAGAAACACCAAGCATCCATGGATAAAGATGTAGGTTTTCAACACACGCATGAGAGAACTGTTAGCAACTCCTGAAGTTACAGGGTGTTTCAGACTTTTGAGTTCTGATGATACTTCATCAGTCCCATACTCTATTCACTATTTTACACTTCTGCAGCTTTTATATTAGGGCAGTGCTCTATATTTCTACTTAATCATTTTATAATTATTACAAACTGCTTTGAAATCAATAAATGTTATAAGAAGCACTGTTCTTTAAGGCTTTCTATGCCTGTTATGTTTTAAGGAAACAAAGTACTGGTATGATTATAATGTCTTTTTGATAGTATAGTGGATGCCAGCCAGAAACAACCTCTTATACCGCTGGTTAGGATATTTTTTAGGTGGAGTTCTTGATCTATCGGTTAGTATGTTAATAGAAAAAAAAAGTTAGACTTACTATGACTTTGTTTTGTAAACACTAACTAGTGAGCTAGTCCTAAATCAGCTGTTTGGCAGCCTGTTTATCATCAAACTATTACGCGATATGGAAAGCTCAAGAAGATCCTCTTCATTGATAGAATCAATCTTAGAATGAGTTAGCAATGACTTGCTGTAATATTTTTTGAAATTTGTAAAAGGGTTCATGTGAGGGTAGAGCTGGGTAATAAATCAAGATCAATTATATATTAGATAGGCACCTGATCGATACCAGTATAAGATACAGCATATAAAATGTTCAATATTTTCACAGAATATTTCAGAACCACATGGGACTCTGGAGGATTTAGGCAGAGTTGGTCATAAGACTGGCTGACCTTTTTTTTGGTGAAAAGGTTAACGGTTATGTCTATATACAGTTAGGCTTACATACATTTTTTCCCATTTATACTTATTTCATAAAGGTTAAAAAAAAGTTCTAATGAATAATTATTGATTTCAGCTGATATGAAAGGCCTATGTAATGATATATTGCCAAACCATATGTAAGGAATCAATAACCAATATTTTTAACAGTACCTGAGAACCTTTGCTTTGCTCCACCTCAGCCAGTTTACATGTAAAATAACACAATTTCAACTGTTGCTTCTAACTCTCTTTGCTTTATATTTTTATATTAAAAGGATCCTCCCTATTTTTGTATCTTTATCCATGTTTGATATTTTAAATTTTGTTTACAACCAAATCTTTTTTTTATCAGTTGGACTTTCATGATTAGAGGTAGTGGCTCAGTTAGAGTTGCATGTTGCTTATCTAACTCCTATTTTGATGGCAACGACTAAAACAAAAGTTCATATTAGTATCTCTATTCCATCTCTCCTGGAAATATTAATTCTGGAAACTTGTATTAACGTGTGATCCAACAGATGCTTATAAATTGGCCATTGTTTTGTATTGATCAGCTGAAATTGGTACTTTTTTTTTTTCATTAGGCAAAAACATTTAGCAACGATGAAAAGAAGTTCCAACATCATATCCAGAGTCAACAGAAAAAAGAACTGAGCAGCTTCCTTGAATCACAAAAGAAGGAATACAAGCTTCACAAGGAGAAACTGAAAGAGGTTAGGAAGTTCATCATAATCTTTTCCTACAAATTTTTTTCAATGGGTAATTGAAACAAATTTAGCTTTAGGTAGGTGAAACATCTTTGTTTTGTTTTTTTTTTCCTCCTAGGCTTTTAATGAAAACCAATCAACACCCAAGAAAGAAAAGCAGGAGTGGTTGTCTAAGCAGAAAGAGAACTTTCAAAACCTCCAAGCAGCAGAAGAGGCCAACCTGCAACGCAGACAGAGGCAGTATCTGGAGCTGGAGTGCCGCAGGTTCAAAAGAAGAATCCTGATGGAACGACATAAAATTGAACAGCAGCATTTACGGGAGGTCAGAACTGCTAAACTTTAATATGACACTAACTGAAAAGTATGTTTGTTTGTTTTTCCTTGTTCTTCTAGTAATTTCCTCTGTTTTTGGTGATAGGAGTTAAACAAGCGTCAGACCCAGAAGGACTTGGAGCACGCTATGCTTCTCCGGCACCATGAGTCCATGCAGGAGCTGCAGTTCCGCCAGCTCAACACCATCCAAAAGATGAGGGTCGAGCTGATCCGCCTCCAGCATCAGACGGAGCTCACCAATCAGCAGGAGTATAACAAGCGGAGAGATCGTGAGCTTAGACGCAAACATGCCATGGAGGTCCGTCAGCAACCCAAGAGCCTCAAGGTTTGTTTTTGACCAATATTAATAATTCTTACGAATAGGATTAACTAAACTAAATCTTGTCTTGTTCTGTATCCTAATTCTATTTTCTGAGGTGTTGATGTACATATATTATTGAATTAATTCCTATTTTTTTTTCCTATTCTCTTAAGTCCAAAGAGCTCCAGATCAAAAAGCAGTTTCAAGACACATGTAAGATCCAGACCCGGCAGTATAAAGCATTGAGAAACCACCTGTTGGAGACCACACCAAAATCAGAGCACAAAGCTGTCCTTAAAAGGTTGAAGCAGGAGCAGCATCGCAAACTTGCCATTTTAGCAGAGCAGTATGACCAGTCCATCAACGAAATGCTCTCATCTCAGGCGGTGAGTCTAGTTATTCTAGAAGTGTAGAGTCATGTGATCTATTGCATTTTTACCGTCGTAATGTTGCATGATCAGTAAGGTCTATATCAGTTTTTGTCATTATTTGTTTGTAGTTACGTCTGGATGCGACTCAGGAATCTCAGGGCCAAGCATTACAGATCCAGCTGCAGCAGGAGCTGGAGCTTCTCAATGCCTACCAGAGCAAAATTAAGATGCAGACAGATGCCCAGCATGACCGCGAGAAGAACGACCTAGAACAAAGGGTGTCGCTCCGAAGGGCGCTACTGGAGCAAAAGGTTCGTCGAAAGCTGTAAAATCTTAAAAAAAGAATAAACTAGCATTAAGGGAAAAAAAGGGAAACAAAAAGCAGACAAAAAATACTGTCAATGTTTAGTAGTTATGTTGCACATGGAGAGCTGAACTTGGCCCACCCAGCAAGAAAGTGATAGAAAGTCCCAGGCTAACAATGTAGGCTTAATGAAATCTAAGTTATATGTTCATGTTTTCAGGGAAAAAGAGGACGTTTTGATAAAAGTAGAAGGTTGGGGATTCTAGAATTGAAAACCACCTGTTTTTGCACCATGCTAATGTGAACCATTTGCTGCGTAGGAAAACAAGAGCTTACTACTAAAACAAAACCTGTTGTATGCCTCCTTATCTTTCGTCTTATGGCATGGCCTGTTATGTTCTTATGGCTCAGATTTGGGTTTTCGCTCTTTTTAAACCCAAGGTTAAACATTTAAAATGAGCTATTTTGGTTGTTTGTGGAGAAATGGGCTCCTATTGACTTATTTACTTTTATGGAGCTTCATATTTTTATGGTATTGCCGTGGTATCGGCAACCACAGATTCAACTTCCATGTATGTAAAGAGTGTGGATCCAAAGACTCTTTCTGTGTTGGAAAAAAAAAGGTGTATTTTATTAGGGCTGGGCGATAATTCAATAACAATATATAGATCACGTCTAGATCGATAGACGTGTGGCGCAATAGAAAAAAAGAGAGTCGATAAAAGTTCGATAAAGAAACGCAGTTTTCCTTCCTTCTCATTGTAGCCTATCATGTAGGTTTATGCTAGTCACTACTTCCTAAACCAATCGCAATCGCGGACCCAGGCACGCCGTCACAAAGCGCCGCCCTCTCAAACCACAACACAGAGCACATGAAGATGTTGCAGCAAGGAGAGGCGGAGGAAATTGTTCCAAAGAAGGGTTTTTGTAGTTTGCCAGTTTGGCAGTATTTCGGTCATTCCAAGTCGGACAAAAAACAAACCACAGTCACCTGTAAAATGTGTAGGGAACCAGTGAAAACGAAGTCTGATAACACAACCAGCTTTTTATTTATTTATCATCTCAGCCGCTCACACCCGCAGGAGTACGAGCTGTGTAGGCCCCGACGCGGCTCTCCTCCGAGGAATCTTCCGGAATTTCTGGAAAATATATATATATAATATATTTTCAGTTCTGGGCAGTTTCCCACGTAGTTCTAACAATTGAGAGAAAAATGCTGAGGGGCCAGAAACTTCAAAGTAACTCAGGTTAAGGCCCCGTCCACACGAAGTCAAAACGAACACGAAATGCTAATATTTTCCAGAACGTTTGTCTTAAAGACGGAGACGTAAAATAAATGTGATCGTCCACACGAATGCATGAAAACGCTGCAAAATGTATGCCAGGCCTGTAAGTGGCGCTGTGGTGCCAAAGCAAAAATAGGCGAGGAAATGTTGGGCATGCGCACTAATATTTATACATGGTTGCCCTGCGGGTCCATTTTCGTGGTTCAGTGAAATTCAGGTGCTGAACTATGTCGTCGATATTGCTCTGTTCTTCCTGGAGATATTCCAGAAGAAGAAGATTCTGTTGTACGGCGCCACTGTTGTTGTGATACTGTGTCGCGCATGCGTGTTTAGAGGCAGTGCTATGACGCATGCGTGAAAAAAAAAAAATGCGGTTAGAGCTTAAAGATGGAAACGCGAAAACGGCGTTTAAAAATCTTCCCACTCTGAAGGCCTGATAAAAAAAAAAAAAGATTGTTTACAGACCCCCGAAATGCCGGCTTCGTATGGATGAGAGGCTGGTTTGGTGAAAAATTTGTGCGTTTAGGCCAGGGTTCGGCTTCGTGTGGACGGGGCCTAAAGCAGGAACCTAAGCTGAACCATAACGAGGTGCCAGCAGCACCTCTAGAAGAATAGAGGTGAGAAAAAATACCCCATAGAAATGCTAGGCTAAAGGGTGAGTTGATTTTTGTTTGGGTTTTTGTTCTTGTTGAGTGGAGTTCACATGGTAGCCTAGTCCTACAATCTTTTAATTACCACAAGCTGGTGGTGTACTATTCCCACCCAAATAGGGTATTCTATTTATTTATTTGTTATATTTATTTTGGTCACTTTTCTGGTCACTTTAGTTTATTCTTTGTCAGTATTTAATATCATAAGTCAGGTCTCTTAAGTTATTTTTCTTTAAAACAATTGTTATGGTTAAAAAAGTTGGTTAAATAAATACTTAATTGGAAGTCTGTGTTTGTGTTCTTTATTAAAATTAAATCATTTAGCAATATCATAAAAAGTCCAGGCAGAGCTGCACATAAAATAGGGTTTCAAATCTTTTCAATAATTATCGATATCGATCAATATGCATTTTTTTTTTATCAATAAGCTTTTTTTCTATATGTCGCCCAGCCCTATATTTTATAGATATTTTTAGATATTATTTAGATATTTTGTTAAATTATGCAGTCAAATCATTTAATTGGTTTGCACTGAAAGATTGTTTAGCATATGTTTATGCTTTATTATCATTATTTGCCAGTCACAGCAGCTAATTTCCATTTGTGAACTTATTACTCTTGTACCTGCAGATAATTTTCTCTCTTGATTTTTTTCCTATAGATTGAGGAAGAAATGCAGTCCCTACAAAACGAACGCACAGAACGAATTCAGCACCTGTTTGAGCGCCAAGCCAGAGAAGTAGAGGCCTTCGACTCGGAGAGTATGCGCCTGGGCTTCAGCAACATGGTGCTAGCAGACATCTCCCCAGAGGCCCTCAGCAACAGTTTTCCCGGGTCACCAGGAGGGTACAGCCAGCATCAGCTGCTGCGTCCCTCTTCGAGCTCCCAAGGGTCGCGCTGGAGCAGCCGCAGTTTAGGTTTAGGCTCTAATAACAGAGGCAGCCATCACCACTATCCTTCCAGTCCAGGAGGGTCACCTATGCAGCAAGGCTGGGGACAGGGCTCACCGGGAGGAAGGGGACAGATGTCCTGGAGCCAATCCCATGGTGGAGGCTTGCTTTCTCGAAGCCCTCAGGCAATGGGGGGGCACAGTGAGCAGGGTATGAGCAGGAGTTCCAGCGTCACCTCACAAATATCCAACGGTTCGCACCTTTCCTACTCTTAGAAGCCCTCTCTGCCAATGAGTCACTTTATATTGCAAAGCCCCACAGCAGGAAAGAGTACTGGTTTTGCTCCGTCTCTGCTTGGGACACTACTTCCCAGATTTCTTTGTACAGATGTGGACGTGTGGCGAAATAAATGTTGCTCAGGTCAAAAGGGGCAGGGAAACACCTGGCCCACCCTTACAGCAGTTTATCGGCGCGCACACAGATTCTTAAATGCATGTTACACAAGCATGAGTATCGACAAGTAAGTTTCATGTGTTTTTATTTACAGCTATCTTCTACAGAGGATATTTCCTAAAAACATAAGTTTGTGCTGTTCAGCCATTGCTCTTGTTTTGCACATAAAACACCACTCTAAAGCCTTTGACGTGTTTAAAATGTAGGTTCAATCACATTAAACTGGTTAAATTTAGCAGCATTCATTTTAATCTTCCCATTCATGTTTAGTTATGCACTGGCCCAAATTTCTGTGGTACGGTAGAAGAACCCCTTAGAAATAACTGGGGACGGTTTGCTGTTGTCTACCATCCTGCTGTAGTGGCCATCGATGGTCATATAAATTAGACTCATTTTTCTTTTAAGGATGTTTTATTCCATATTAATTCTTGACATCAACCAAAATACAGAACCAAACAAGTCGATTGTTTTTAGACGTATGCTTCTACTAACACTGTGCCTTTTCAGTTTCAGATACTAAAGTTGAAATATTACTTTTTTTTCATTAATCTCTGCTTTCTTTAATAGATATTGTTTTAGGCTGGGGTTTTATTTTCACATCTCCCAAATGTTTTTTTTTTTTTTTTTTTGCCTAAATATGCTGAGGAGAAACAAATTCAAATGCTACCTTGGCATGTTGTTTTTTTTTTATATATATATATCTGCCTGAGAGTGGTACTTCAGGGGTAAACTTTACCTCTCCAGAGAATGTCACTGTAACTTGGAAACTTATCAGCCTTCAAATACAATCATAGTGCTAATCTTTATTTTTTATTAGTGCCTTTTTAATACTGCTGCCTTTTTCAAAGCACTTTATACAGCTCGACGAGTGTAAGATTAATGTTTGACTTCTTTTCTCAAAAAGCTCCCGGTGAATGAATGTGTCATTGGTACGCATGTAGAAAAGTCAGACTTACCTGTGCTGTGATTCACTTCTTTTTTCTTTTTTTTTCCTGGATTATCAAAAACAACCTTTAGATGTTAACAAAGAGTGACTAAGTGAAAACATTTTGCAGCCTTTTTTTGAATCCATAGCTGCCTGTTACTGCTTGTGTTTCTGTGTGACATTGGCTGAAGAAAATATGCGAGGATGATACAGTGTTTATTTTGTTTGGTGTGTTTGGATGAACAAAGTTAACTCCAAAATCTTTTAAGGTGCAGACAGTGAATTATGTCCAAGACAACAAGCTTTGAGCTACTGAACTTTAACACTACTATTAAAAAAAAAATGGCTTAGATAAAAATAAACACTAAACATTAGGGATGTAATTAAGCTCAGCCAACACACTCTGGTGAAGGGTTGTAAGTTAGACATCGTCTAGCAAAAGGCATTCATATCCTAACTTTTTTCACTTTGTCACATTACAACCACACTAATTGGATCCAGATTTTATGTGTAGCCTATAACGGTGATGTTATATAAAAAAGACTACATGGTATTTTTGACATAAGAATCTTAAATGTGTGGCAGGCTTTGATCATTTGCAAGTTTACAAGTTTTTCACATGTATCAGACTGCCTTCCATTTGTTTTGCTGTCTTCTCTGCATCACTTTTGGCAAACTTTACATTTGATCATTTTTTTTACTCCCAGAAATGGCGTTCCTCTTGCAGAACGTTCACAAGATCCACAATTTTTGGGAGGGTCTGCTAGTAAAGGCCCTATCGGTGTAATCTGTAACCTAAGTAACTGATCTTTTAGCTGCTGCTTACTATTAAAGCCATACACATTCATGTTTTAATCTAAAAGAAATAAAAGTCCTAACAAGATAGTTTACTTTGTGGTTGTAATATGAGAATATTTTAAAAAGTTTACGGGTTGTGAAAACATTAGCACACATTTAAGCCATTATTTTGTTTGCCTTAAGATCATTTTTTTTTTCCCTTTTTGGCTAACAATATACTTCCTTAAATTTTTCAGCAGACATTTCAGTGAAGTTTAAGGTTTAAATGACTCTGATTTAATTCTATGCTTCTGTGACTCACAAGTGGAAATAATAACTTCTTTTTTTTTTTTGTATTTAAGAGCAATGCTTGGAGAATTTGTTCACCGCAAAATAATTTCCTAAACTGGGCCTGATGAACTGTATCAACCCTTTCCTATAAGTTTATATTTCTTGTCTGAAATATATTCTTAGTGCCACACTTGACACTTTTATTCTTGTGTATACTGTCATCTCCTTCAAATACCACTTATTAAAGATAAAGAGTTGTTATCCCTAGTGCAATCTGCATTAGGGATTTTGTCCTCAATCCAAGATGATTCACAGCTGCAATTAAACATAGATCCTAGCTCTTTCTTAACGTTCTTTAATATCTTCAAAAAGTGATACCAGCAAAAGTGCTTGTATCTTAATTATTTTTCTTAACACAAAGTATGCATAAATAAAATAGTACTGTACATGGCCCCCAAAACATTTTCTTTTTTTTTTTTTTGGCCTAATGCTTATGCATCCAAGTAAAGCGTATTCAGTTCTTTATCAACATTTACCACATGTCAAAAGCCAAGACCAAGTATTTGAATGTTAAGCCAATCAAACCTCGCATACATGCCAAGTTTTACATTCATGTGAACATTTTGACTCCCTTAAATGTCCAATAAGTGGCTAAATCTGGACGTTGCCTTCAGTTAAATTGCCTCACAAGCCCATACTTTATTTTATACTTTTTAATGTTTTGTATATCTCATCTTTTATATCCTACTGACTGAAAGCAAGTGGGATACAGGATTGTGAATCAGCAACTGAAAAGGATTCTTTCTTCGGTCAAACACTGTGCTATACCGGAGTCGCCAAACCCGATCATCAGTGCATCTGTTTCATCTCCAAGCTTTCACCTGTTGGGGGACTGTTGATTAGAAATGAATCGTAGAGATCAGTTGGCTCTGACTTTGGGGTTTAAGTTAAAAAAAAAGGTCAGTTGAGCAATTGTGGAGTTACAGACAGATGATGAAAAGAAACATTTCTTTGAAGATGTCAGTATTCTTTGGCACATTACCACTACAATTTATAACCTGTATTAAAATGTGTAAATGGTGGAGCTTCTTATTGAATGTCAGATGTTATGAAGATACTACATGAGAGATGGTAAAGTACTGAAAGTGGATTTAAATTGTGTAAAAAAAATGGAAAAACAGAATAGGATCCAATACTATATTGTTTGTATTGTATTTACCATGTTATTGTGTTGGCAGAGGGATATTGAACAGAAATCAGCTGTAATAAAGTAATTTTAGTATAACTGCCTTGTGGGTTTTTTGTTTATTTTTCCTTTTTTAAAATCCATAAATTTGGAGAGATGTGTTTTATAATGCTGGTTCGATGTATTTCAAGTCCAACTAAGATTTAGCTCATTTATTTAATTGTAATCAACTTGGGTTTTGCAAAGTTGAATTTGTATAAATATCTGGTCCATGTTACTAAGCAAAACAGAACTGCAAAAGGGGGGAAAAAAACTTGGAAAAGAAAAAGTACTTTAAATGCTATTTTTACTCAGGAAATGACAAAAAGCAATGATTATAACTGCAAGTTATTCTTGCCACATGTTTCAAGAGCTCACAAAATATGTATAGAGGAGTGAAAAGAATCATATCCACATCTTTGAATGCAGATATTTCAGTATTTAGAATTCCAAACAAAATTATATTTCGATTGCACATAAGGAAAACCTTACAATTTTGTTAAATATAAAATTTAAGCCTGATTTTGTCACAGCTTTTTTCCACCATGTCATTGTCTCCACCATTCTCCCTAAGCTTTTTAAATCAACCAATGAGATCTAAATCCGACATAGGCATCCTGCAGCGGCTAAACATTTTTTGATAAGCAAAAATGTTTGAATTTTAATGGATGACAAAGGAGATGTATTACATTACCAAATTGTGCATCCAAACAAGATGTGATTACACAAATTAATTGGCAGAACAAGTATGATTACATACATTTTACAGGTTTATGCTTGAAAAATAGCAAACAGGCTTTTGATGGAAAAAAATAACACTGTCATTAAGATTTTGAGATAGAAAATAGTTCTTTCAACTTTCTTGGTTATAGCTATAATAAATAAATGTATACATTTAAAATTACAGTGATGACCTTTTAATTTTGAGATTTAAATTCACATTGAAATGAAAAACTACACATTTTGAGATTAAAAGTCAAGTTATGTGATTTAGAAAAGAATAGAATAGAAAATCCATTAATTGTCCCACGATGGGGAAATTCTGGTGCTTAGAGGAGTAAAAAGATTATAGAAAAAATTGTCACACAAATGTGGACCGTTGAGTGTATAAGAATAACATAATAGTGAAGAGTTAAAAAAAAATATAAAAATTCTGTACTGTAAAGTGTTTTAACAATACAAATACTGTGCACCTGGAGAATAAATGCCCAATATACAACTATGGACATTTTTACAATAATGGATATTTGAAAATAGCAGCAACATCAGAGATGTGTAACATGACAGCAGCATGTTATTTAACTGACTAAGATAGAAATTGTGCAAAAATCAGCATGAATATAACATCCTATTGCGTTTGTTGGGAACAGTGATGGTTATAATGCCTTACAGCTGCTGGGAGGAAGGATCTGTGATCATTCTCCCTGGTGCATTTAGGGTGCAGCAGTCTGTCACTGAAGGAGCTCTCCCGTTCTGCAACAGCTTAATGCATGGGGTAGAAACATTATCAAAATGGGGATGTTAATTTAGTTAGGGTGCTAGATTGATTTGATTGATACTTTGATTCAGTTTAAATAAACATGGGGTTCAATCATAATGTATAACTTTATACGTAATTATGTGATAAATCATCCTGCATATATGTATGGTTTAACATTTAGAAATTTCAAAGTTAATTCTTCTCTTTTTTAATTTTTCATTAGTGTAACCCCAAAATCAGAAAAAAAATAATAAATTAAATACGACATTGTTCTTGAAAATTCTTAAAAACTTATAACGTTCGCTTTTCAAGTAGTAATATAAAAATGAAAAAAAAAAGAAATAAATAAAATACTTTTAGAGATGTTGTTGTAAACATCCTGCTTGGTGCGGGCCCCTTTAAAGTGGGCTGACAGACCCACTGGGTTCTAAGCTTCACCGCCATCCAATCAGATCGGCCCATAAGCGGAAATGCGTCTGACGTAAAATGTGACGATCGCTGTAAACAACAGCAAACGAGCTAGCTTGTAAAAGTTATGCAGTCTCAACAGTGTTTGATCTGAGTAAGTATTCAGATTTAAATACAAAGAATGGTGGGCTTGTTGAAGCCAGATACCGACTTATCTTGAATATGCATTTGATGAATACTGTGACTTTAAAAGATACCGAATCTGTTTGCTCTTGCTAACGTTACACATGGTTATATGTTTGAAATGTGCAATGCCGCACAGAATTACCTCTTAAAAACGCAAAGACTGGGGAATCAAAGTGTTTTTCATACTGAGCGTTTAAAGTATTGCTTATTTTTATTATTTATTTGTATCTGTTTGGAGCCACGCTAGCCAACATTGTTATGCAGCCCATTAATGTTGCTATTATGAATATTCAGGCAGAAACCTTAAACTTATGGGGGATATTTGCAAGCAGACCTAATATTGATTCTGTGGCTAATGCTATGGATAAAATCTCTCAAACATATCAATATAATGAACACAAGGCTGATTGCATTTGGGAGATCAAGATTTACATACTGATTAACTACATTTTATTACACTAGTTAAAAAAGAAAGTTCAAAGTTCACCCATCTATTCATTGTCTTTTCTTTACAAGGATGCAGAATCAATTCTATTGTCATTGTAAAGGCCTGACCTGCTTCTGAGGGCTTTTAATGACTCTCCTACACGTCAAGATCCTTTTAACATAAAAGGAAACAAGTTGTCTCTGGGAAAGGTTTTCTCTTTTTATTTATTTCTGCTGAGTCTTTTTTTTTCTTAACAGCTCCAAAGTCTTGCCCATGTCATATGAACAATCTCCACACTATCCCCCCTTAATGTGCTGAGAAAGGATGTCACTTTTCCGCCCTCGGGAATCAAAGATTTCCCTCATTTATTTAGGAGATGTTGAGGAGCAGTTTGTCCCCCCATGCAGCAAACTGACGGACACTCCGCCTCCTTCTATCTCCAGCAGTCATTGGACGAGAGTAGGGCTACACCCTGGACAGGTTGCCAGTTCATCACTTGGCAACACAGATAAACAAAGGGCAAACACCAATATTTTATGTGTTTATAGTTTTTTTTATTTTTTTTTAAGGCTGGTGCACAGCAAAGAGATGATAAAAAAAAAAAATCAACCCAGGTACTTGATTGTTTGGACCTAATATTCAACTAATGTTCTGTGTAGGATTTCAAAGAGTCATAAGATGTTGCCTCTGTTAGGAAAAGAGATATGTTATGTTCTTTTTTTTCTTTAAGAGTCTGACATTATATTTTAAATCTGAAAAAAAAAAACAATGAAATTTTAGTGGTGTTTTGTCCAAGCTGATTTCTATCAAGCGGAATCACATTTTTTTATGTGGGTTTATATTGATCTGTTTTTCTTACAGAGCTCAATTATGTTGTGTGAAATCCTTCTGTCATCGCTATGGTTCCTTTTTGTGATCTTCTGGGCCGAGACAATAAGTATATGGCTGTTTTTGTCGATGTTTTACCAGGATCAGGCATTTTATCACTGGGGAGATGGGTAAGAGTTTTTTTTTTTTTTTTTCATTTAACTGTTTTTTTACCCTTGAAAACGTACAAATGTTAAAAAAAAAATTGAGGTCTTCCAACTATTTAAATCAGTTAACTGAAAATAAGCTGGTTCTAAATGTACATTTGATTTTTCAGGCAGTTTGGAGATCCTGGGCAGATGATTTACGTGTTGAGCAGGTGGGATGTTCCAGCTCTTGATTATTGAACTTATGAATCTAATAAATAAATATTAAGCTGTTACAACCATTTCTTCAAGCTCTAAATGTATTTATTTTTTCAGAGTTGAAAACCCACAGACCTGAGATGGAAACGTGTCGAGAGATTCGAAGAATACTTTTAATGAAGCGCTGCTGCTACCATGCGACTGAAAAGCTAAAGAATAAAACCAACTACTCATCTTCTTTTCTGTTCACTTTTACCATATTGTCAACAGCCCCACGTAAATCGTGAGAAGGGAAGTTCAACTTTAGTCAAAGTGCAACTACAGTTCATGGCATCCTCCACTACAAATTATTCTGAGGAGCAGAATAGAATATATAAATAAAATATGCAATCTTGGTTCTCATATGAGCTAAATGAAACTTTATTTTTTTCTCCCTCAATATTGCACTTGCACTGAGATGATTTCTGTGTTTAACCAACTCTATGCGGCCACTGCTTCCTTTTTGCAGCCGCGTCTCTATTTTCAGGTAACAGATTGCATAAAATCTGATGTTTAGGTTGATCTATTTTTTATCCAACTTTTAAACTTATCTTTTTTTAACATTGGACTTGATTGAATGGTATTTTTGCAATCTAATGAGATTTTATATTTTGAATTAGTACTATTAGCAGTATTTTTCTCAGTTTCAACTGAAAAGCAGTAGAAATGAACCAGTTCTCTGAATTTAAAGGTTCCCCTGAAAAACATCCCTCAATTGTCTTTTTATACTTATGGACTTTATTGCATCTGGGTTTTACGCTGCTGTCATCTTTCAGTTGATATGAAAAAAAATTGCATCTTGTATGATATCAGATGTGACTTATCCACTTGTTGATAAATGTCTTTATGTAAAGCAGAACCATACCAGTAGATTGTTTTATTTTTTTTCTCAAATCTAAATGTGTATCACATTTTCCCTTGAATAGCAGCATATTTTAGTAGATTTGTTTTTTTTTTGTTTTTTTGTATCTTTGACAAACAATGTTTGTGTTCTGTATATTAAGTTAATAAACAAAAAGATGCTGAACCTTTGGTGTCAACGTTACAGTGTGTACCACTCCGAGACAGCAGGTGGCGCTCGCGGCAAACAGAATCCTCCAATTCGGAGCTGTTGTTTCCTGTTTCGACTTGGAGGAAATAAAAATGTGTTGTGCGATGCTTTGTTTGTAGCAATATTTACCTAACGGTCGTTGAAGTGAAGGTTTTCAATTGACATCGATCGGGTCTTCGTCAGCTATTTCCATAAACGTGCGGCTTTGTTTTGAGCTGTAAAGGTTATTTTATTTTTATTTGATCGTAAACATGGCTCCAACGATCCAAACTCAAGCTCAACGGGAAGACGGGCACAGGTAAACCGCCACATTTTGTTTGCTTTTTCAGCACGATTCCCCTTAAAGTATTCAGTCCAAAACGAACGAATAGACGTTAAAGTTTCATGTTAGCCAATTACGAACAACATAAACTACTTAGAACAAGCAAACTGGCAGAATTAATCGAGCTGTTATGGCTCTAAACGTTTAGCATGATCCGTATGACGTTAAAGGGATAATGCTCAATATTAGGAATGGTTGCAACATATTAACGGCTTTATTTTTGCACACTTTACAGGTTTTAACAGTGCTACAGGACAATCAATGGGCAGAAAAATGTATTAACGTTCGGAAAAAGATCAATATTCGTTTTATTAGTTTGGCAAACATGCTTAAAAAATGTCTGGAATGAATTAATTGAACTCCATGTAAATTAAAGGGGCTACTTACACAACACATGTCATCTCAAGGCACTTTACAGTTCACCAGATCATGCTGTCAAATTGATTTAAAGTTTTCTATCTAAGGAAAACCAGTTGATTTCATTGATTCTGATGCAATCCCTCACATTAAGCATGCTTGTGGCGACAGTGGGGAGGAAAAACTCCCTTTTAACTGGAAGAAACCTCCAGCAGAACCAGGCTCAGTGTGAGCGGCCATCTGCTGAGGCCGCCTGGGGTTTAAGGAGACGGAAGCAGAGGGTTACTGCCAAAATATAATGTACCATTAATTTGCCATTGTTGGTAACTTGGATATAAACACTACTTTGCGGCCAAAAATAATATTGTTCTGCAGAGTCCACCTCTGTTAATTAGGGGTGTAAATAATAATCCTTTTGTAGCGATGCATCAATCCAACAGCTGACGATCCGATGCATCAACACGTCCGCAAGAGTATCGATTCATGTTTTCTTTTTTCTATTTTAATCTATTGGCTCCTGGATGTAATTCTGAACCGTACTTCTGCTGCCATGGTGCTAAGCATATTTTGAGCTCCTACCTCGCTTCCGTTAGCCACTACCTTCTTTCCGCTTGCAGTATTTTTGATGCAAGGCCTTTCAGAATCTATAACGCAGGGGCATTATTATTTCTCAGTGAATGAGATTTTAATAGGAATAGGTGGAGTACAACTTTTCTACTTCCGTTAGTTAATGTTTCTCAAATAAAATGCAGAACGATATTACAGCTTTCATTTATTTATATATCTCAAATTTGAAACGGTGTCTAGCCTGTAAGGAAAAAAATAAAATTACCAATTAATCGAAACGAATCACGGTTTATTCTAGAGTATTGAAAATAATCGAACCGTTGGGTCAGGAAATTGATACTGAATCGAATCGCAAAGATGGGTGTGATTTACACCCCTACTGTTAATACTAGTGATCTAATGTGGCCTACTGATTGTGATGTTACTTACTGTAAATTAAAGAATAAAAAAGTTACAAACTTAGTAAGCAACTTTAAAAAGTAACAAAAAAATAAATAAATCTGTGCCTGTATCAGCATTATTGTTCTGCAGGGTTTTGTTGTATCAAATGTGTTTTTTTTTTTTCACAATTTTTTTGCACAAGTAAAGTAATAAAATTAGAAAACAAAAAAAGGCTTTTCAGAATTGAGATATTAGCCTGCTGATAACAGTGTTCTCCTTCAATAGGTATCAGAGTTGTATGTGTGTATATGTAACTTTTTTTTTCTTGCAGAGCTTTATAATGTTGTGCAGTACATATATTGTTAGGGCTGTTCCTACATGATTTACTGCATCAATGGAGAGAGTAGCTGTTTAAGTATGTGAATACTTTAGACACTGTGGGCAGGAGTGGGAGATGAAGTAGTCAACAGTAGTACTTGAGTAAAAGTATTAATGTACTAATATAGCGCCTTTTTTGTCAGGAGACTTGACCAAAGCACTTTACACTACATTCACGCACACACTCACACACTGATGGTGGCAAACTACATTGTAGTCACTGCTGCCCTGGGGCTCACTGAGAGAAGCGAGGCTGCCGTACACTGGCGCCACCGGGTCCTCTGACCACCATCAGTAGACAATGCAGGTGAAGTGCCCTGCCCAAGGACACAACGACACTGAAAGCTGGACGGGCTTGAACTGATAACCCTCCAGTTGCAGGGTAAATCCCTACATCCGATGCCGCTGTCGTGTGTAGGAGTAGTCATTTTTGAAAAAAAATTTAGTATTCAAAATTTCTTAAGTATTCAAAAAAAAGTATCCTGCTGCAGTAGGGGAGAATGACTATGAGGCTGTGAAGCAAGGAGTCGCCACCTTAGCTGACGAGGGTTTGGATTCCACTCTTGTGAGCAGACCTCTACAACGCCAGAATCCTCTTTGGCAAGAGGATGAAGTAGGTGGGGCTGAGAACATTGTTGCTGGTGAGAATGAGAGCACAGATGCTAAAGGCACTGGAGAGGAGCCTTCTGTCTCCAGGAGGGAGATTGCTCATATGGATCTTTGTTTTTTTTTTTTTTGGGTGACTGCAGTTCCAGTAGCTGGCTTCTCCTCTTCCTGTGGAAGATATGAAGAGATCCGTTTGTCTGTAACTGGATCTTGATACAACGGGAAGCAGATGTCAGAACCCTCGATGGTGGAGCTGAGCCCCACAGGCTGGTTGCAGAATCACCACCAGCTTGGATTCCTCTTTGTCTTAATTTCTTCAGCAGCAGAGATCCCCAGATCTTCTCTAAATTCTCTCACACATGATACCCTGTGCTGCTGAATCCATAAGTCTGGGTCTATGAGCATAACTCCTGAACAGAATACGCATGCCAGTGATTGGTTCATATTGCCCAGGTTATTCTGTCAGGCCCTTATCCATAGAGAACCTGATATTCATGACTTAACTTATGTAGCACCTTCAACTTTGCAGCACTGTTATCTATCCAAGACTTTTTAACAGCGTGGTAGCACCCTAATGTCTCCCCAAAGGTTCAGTCCATCCCCAGAATCTTATTGCAGCAGATTTGATTAATGTGTTTTACATAATTGATATATTAATGTTCTAAAATCTTGATAGGAAGTCAGTCATATAGCGACCTTCCTTCTAAGCTTTGAGTGTCTATCGTTAAAATCTTATAAAGTCACCAATGGCAATGATTCTTTGTCATAATCATTGATTTGCTCAATCCATCATAGATCATAACATTTCTAAATACTTGTTTTTGCTTTGTCTAGCAGGCCATCTTCCCACAGAACTGTGCCAGAGAGGTAAGCAGATAAATCATTTAGCAATTAATACATTTACCTATGAGTTCAGTCATACATGTTGATCTGTCACAGGTCAGGAATCGTCTGCAGAGTGAAGTACTGTAACAGCTTGCCCGACATCCCGTTTGATCCCAAATTCATCACTTATCCCTTCGATCAGCACAGGTGAGCTCATTTATCCACTCATTTCCCTCTCTGTTAAATCCAGCCTCTCCAACAGCTGAGGTATTGCTTCTGCTTGGCAGGTTTGTTCAATATAAAGCTACTTCTCTTGAGAAACAGCATAAACATGAGCTCTTGACTGAGCCAGATCTCGGTGTCACCATCGACCTCATCAACCCTGATACTTACCGTATCGATCCCAACAGTAAGTTGAGTTGAAGGGGGCGCTTGAGTGAATTATTCATCCTTCATAACTTCTTGAAATATCTTAAATTTAAATGTAAAACAAGCACTTTAAATTCTCAGTTCTTTTGGACCCTGCTGATGAAAAACTGTTGGAAGAGGACACCCTGCCTCCATCTAGTTCCAAAAGGTAAGAATCATTGACTAAGGGGATAAATGTTTAACCTTTTACAAAATATAAAAAAAAAATAACATTCCTTTTCTATTTTTTCTTTAAGGTCACAACAACATGCCAAGGTTGTGCCGTGGATGAGGAAAACAGAATATATTTCCACAGAGTTTAACAGATACGGTGTTTCCAATGAGAAAGTGGAAGTCAAGTAAGTTTGATCTTTTCCACAAAGGAAAAGTATAGAGGTGTGTTTGTGTTACCTTCAGGTTAGACTTGTTAGAGTTTATGACGGATTTATGTTTTGTGTTCAGGATTGGAGTGTCTGTCAAACAGCAGTTTACAGAAGAAGAGATCTACAAAGACAGAGACAGTCAGATTTCTGCCATTGAGAAGACATTTGAAGATGCACAGAAATCGGTGAGTGGACATGTTTTAGGCTTCGAAAATGTTTATAGCCAAAACAGATTAGAACCAATCACATAACGTTGAATGTGATGTAAAAACATTTTATTTTGATAAGAAATCTCTAACTACCTGCAAATCTCTTGCAGGTAGTTAGAGATTAGAGATCAAAGATGTATCCTGCTCAGTTTGGATATAATAAAGAGCATCAATAAACATTGATCTGACTTATCATTACAGAAATGCTCTGTTCCGTTATGGCTAATTCTGGTGCATGTGTAAACTCCCATGTTGTGATCGGTCTTCTCTGTTTTTAGACCAGAGAGTCTCAAAAGACTGAATTATGCCCTGTGTAAGTCAGTCTGGCTGGCCAGGCTAAGAGCAAACACTCATGCAAGATGTCAGAAAAAAGAAAAAAACAACAGAATTCACCTCTTTTTTTATGATTTGAGACAAATACCCCTTATATGCTACGCTTTTGAAACCCAGCCGAGAACGGTCTGAGACCGGTAACTAGGATAAGTGAGTGTAAATGGAACGTAACTGAACTGGACCATGCCATACAGAATTAAACTGTGCTAAATCTAGTACTAGTTTAACAGTAGGGTTCGACACGGTTCAGTTGTGTCTCGATAACAAAGAGCATGTGAGCAGACCGCGTCATCTCCTATTTACAGTCAGCTGACTCATTTCACGGGTTTACCGGCGTGCCTGGCTTTGTAATTCACAGATCTCTTCACATTTTCACAACACGAACTTCTTCTCAGCCTATTAGCAATAAATGGCATCAAAAGAGCGTGGTGCGTCTCGGATGATGCCGAGACCGCGGCTCTCATTTAAATTTGGGCAGAGGACGCTATCTAAGCACATAAGTTCCTGAATGTTATGGGTCCCAACATTTTTGTTTGCTTAATTCCCTCCTTAAGAGCTGTAGTATCGTGGACATGCGATAGGAGGTGTGGAACCATGCTATCATGATGTGTAAATGGTCGTAAGAACCAAGCTCGGCACGGTTACCTGATTCCAGCTCAGTCCGAACTCTGAACGTATCATTTCAGAGGGGTAGTGTAAATTGGGCAAGATCCTCTATTTCAAAACACAAAAATATTCCAGCATTAAGATGTTAGGTGTTTTAATTTCTGCTCCGGTTCTGACCAGCGTTGTTACTCAGATCCTTCTGTAACAGATATTTAAGCAGAATAGCACGCAGAGTATTAGGCAGGCATCAGAGATTCATCTTTTCCATATATTTTTTCCATATATTACTTATGATTGTTTAACTACACTACAGCGATGAAGCAGTTGTACAATGTTTAAGGGCACCACCGTTCATGCCTTCACATCTCTTTTAAGTCAGTTTTCTGTTCTTCTCTTACCAAAACATGCTGATTGATTCTAATAACTCTTCAGGCTAATGCTACCTACATGGTGGATAGAAGGAACGTTAAAATACAATCAGCTAAGCTATTATAGTTGTAGCTAACCGTTGTTTCCATTTCCTTGAACTGTTGTTTGTTTCCTTGAAGTCAACTATATTTTATTTCCCTAATTCTGATGCAAAAAGTTGAATTGAGAGACTTCTTTTTGGTGAGGGAGGATACATCTTGGACCCTGCAAAGAAGAAACAGCACTCCCTCCATACTTTTTCTATGTATACATTAAGTAGAAATACAGTTAACCTGTTTCTATTTTAAAAGTTAATTTTTTTTCAAGAAGGCAGACATGTTTAGCTGTGGTTTATTTTTAAGGAGAAAATGTGTTGTTGCTTTTCCTTTGCAGATCACACAGCACTACAGTAAACCCAGAGTCACCCCTGTGGAGGTCTTGCCTGTGTTTCCTGACTTTAAGGTAGGCTCACTGCTCAGTGAACAGTTACAGATGTTATCTTATATTGGCACAAGGAAAAATAAAAAAATAAAAAATCCAGCTTTGATTAATGAGTCTCATACATTTTCCTTCCAGATGTGGATCAACCCTTGTGCTCAGGTCATCTTTGACTCTGACCCTGCTCCTAAAGACATATCAGGGCCAGCAGGTGTTGAAATGATGTCTCAGGCCATGATCAGGTAACTGATGACAAGTTTCTTTGAGCTTAATCTTGACTAAAAGCTCTATTTTTCTGTTAACCTTTATGTAATGTGTGTTTACTACAGAGGAATGATGGACGAGGAGGGAAATCAGTTTGTGGCCTACTTCCTGCCAAATGAGGAAACACTTCGCAAACGGAAGAGAGACTGTGAAGAGGGATTGGATTATATGCCTGAGGACCTGTAAGTAAACGTTTGACTGTGGGGATGGGCAATAAAATGATTTCTATTTATATTGTGATAGAAACTTGATCAGTATCTATCGTAAATACATCTAATAGAAAGATCTGTTATTTCAGTGAATTCTTTTCGCCAAAGTCATGAATCGATTAAATTTTTATTCATACAGTTCTAAAACCTGTCATATTAAACACAAAGTGCAACTTGTAAATCGGACAGTTTAAACTTGAGATGTGAACAAAGCTGTCTCAAAAGTGCAAACTTGTTTGTGAAAAGTGAAAAAGTGCAGCCTCACTCGAGCAAGCAGATGTGACACAGCAGACATTCATGAACTGCATTATCTCCACTGCACAAACCATATGTGCAGCGTTGTCTGTAACAACTACAGGGTGTTTTCTGGTCAGCCCCCATTTGTTAATGTCTTCAGTCAACCTATTGACTGTATTTGCAGCCGTCTGGCTTGAAGTAATCTTGAGTGCATCTTTCCTGCTCATTTGAATGTGAACGTCACTATAAAATGAAACGATTTTGCAAAAATGTAAAGGAATCTTTTACCCAGCCCTATTCTGGGGGTGTAGGGAGAGGGGGGGTCTTAGCCCAGGGGTCATCAGCCTTTTTAAGGTTTAGCATTTCATGGGTACTGAGTCATAGGAAGAGCTACCAGTGTTGACCTACGAACTGGAAGGATTAGCGTTCACCTAAACCTTATGCATAATAAACATTTTATTTATTCTTTTCACTTAAATTTTAGTAGATATTTTCATTTTGATAAATGCAGTTGTTGCCAATTCAATTGTTATCAAAAAACCAGAGCAACAGAATAAAGTGAAATTTCAAACTAAGCCCACTGGGGCGTTGTGCTATTTTCAGAAGACGCTGAAGCTTAAAAAAGTGAAGTTTACAATTTTAATGTAGCCTATCAAATAAGTAAAGAAAAAATAATTATCTATGTTAACTAATATGAAAGGCTAATACGTACATTTATAGCCTCCACGCTTATATGTATATAACTTGTTTTTGCAGCTTATGCGTAAATGCCAAAAGTAATAAAAATACGTCTTTCTTTTATTCTTCCAGGTATGATTACAAGATTGCCAGGGAATACAACTGGAACGTCAAGAACAAAGCCAGCAAAGGTTATGAGGAGAACTACTTCTTCATCTTTAGAGATGGCGACGGTGTTTACTACAATGAACTGGAGACTAGGTAAACACCTATACAATGATTATCCAATTCCACAAAAAAGATTAATGGTTTGTTTGATTCCTCATTAAAATCTTTTTGACCTGTAGGGTACGCTTGAGCAAGAGGAGAGCCAAGGCTGGAGCACAGTCCACCACCAACGCGGTGCTGGTGTGTAAGCACAGAGATATGAATGAGAAGGAGCTGGAGGCCCAGGTCAGTCACTGCTCTTTATTTATGTGTGTCTGAGCACACGTTTGGCGTAGAAGCTGTGTTTGGGAACCATTTACTGCTAAAGAGTTTAATGACAAATGTCTGGGCTTCAAAGCATATATCAAGATGTTGTATTTGAGCTTGTAGCCCAAAATAATTAAGTTTGTAATAAGTTAAGACATCAAGAATAATTATTATGATCCTTTCAAGCCCTTGAATTTCTCCAATTAATTGTGATCAGATTTGAAATGATTTGGCTGTTCACTATGGTGTCTGTCACACCATTCATACTTTACAGATTGACCCATATAGAAGATCTTTAAGGGATCTGTTACCTGCCTTATACTTGTTGTCTTTATCCTCAGAAACACATTTTATTACTTTCTCTATTTTTGTAAAGGCTTGTAAAGGTAAACAATGAAAGGACTTTTGTTCTTACAAGCATAGACCCAGCTGAATAGCGTTTAAGAATTAGACTCTGCCCCTACTGCAAGTTGATGAAACAACAGGCTGGTTCAATCTGCAGTGCCATCTGCTGTCTAAAACAGGAGCTGTATTGAATGCCCTGTATAAGCTGCCCATACTGTTTAACATCTGGTCCACAGAAATATAACACAAAGATTGCTTACTTATACCGTTTGCTTTGCTAATTAACAGCCGCAAATCAATTAAAAAACATTTAAATTACAGGAGTCCAAATTGTCTCTATTGTCATTCTAGTTTATGATTGATTTTATGATGTTGTTTTTATATGTCTTATTGTACTGCTGCCCCTTGGCCAGGTCTCCTCGAAAAAGAGATTTTATCTCAAGGGACTTCCTGGTAAAATAAAGGTTAAATAAAATAAAAATAAAATAAATTCTTAAATTTATTACCTGAATAAAAAATAATTATATAAAAAAAAATATTTTTATTTATTTACTGTATGTATCCTACATCGAAGTGTTTAGTTTTCTGTTAGCTCACTGATGATTTTGTTTTATATTTCAGGAGGCACGTAAAGCTCAGCTGGAGAACCATGAGCCAGAAGATGAGGAAGAAGACATGGACATGGACAAAGACATGCAGGATTCTGGTAAGTTCTTTCAAAAGGAACATCTTTATGTTCATCTTTGTTTTCATTAGCAGTAAAAACTGAAGTATTACTAGAATGTGTTTGTCAAATGGATCTATCAACTGTTTTTCCAGGTGAAGAGAAAGAGAAGGGCAGCGGCAGCGAGGCGGAGAACTCTGGCAGCGAATCTGAGAGGGAAGAGGAAGACCAGGAGCAGAGCGGAGAAGAAGAGGAAGAGGAGGAGGACAGAGAGAAGAGGCGGAGGAAGCCAAGTGGCAGTGGAAGTGAGAGTGGCGAAGAGAGGACCAGAGAGCTGCGAGATGAAGTGGAGATCTTTGGGAGTGACGACGACAGCGACGACAACGAGCCCAAGAACTCGGCCCGGAGCAGCGGGGAGGAGGGCAGTGGAAGTGAGGATGAAGCAGAGAACAACAGGAGCCACAGCGCCTCTCCAGCACACAGCGACCGCAGCAGTGACCACTCAGAGACCCATGCTCAAAGTGGAAGTGAGAGGGGATCGGACTCCTCTGAAGCCAGCGACAGTGAATAAGATCTGCAGTCTGCTTAGACTCCATCCCCGGCTCAAAATGTTGACCTTCTCACCCCGTCAGTAAACCTATGACGTTGTCAACAGCTGGAGCTTCTTCATAACAGCAAATGTGTGCAGAATGCTCTTTGCATTGGAACTTAATCCATCCTTTTTAGTCAAGTTTTTATTTGATGATTTGTATCCCGGTGTAGTAGATGTTTTATTTTATTTTATTTTTTTTCATCACTTGTTAAAATCATGGGGAAAAAAAATCTTTGTTCTCTTTATGTATCACCAATTATACTGGTATAGCTTTTGAAATGGATAATAAATCACTGGTTACGTTTGGATAAAAGACTTGATTCATTTTCAAATATTTGTTGCATCGTAGAAGCTTAATAATTTACTTCAATTATCTTTAAATTACAAAATTACAATGATAAATGTTAATGTTGGGCAGTACACAGACCTCTGGTAACAACCTGTAGATTCAAAACACTAGAGTCGCCTGCCAGTGTTGGGGGAAAAAACAGCAATTTTCAGAAAATAAAATAAGCATTACTTTTATTTAAACTTGTTTAAATAAAGGATAAAAGGTAACAGGTCAGGTCTAAAATGCCTTGCAAGCCAAAACTGCAGCAAAGAGTAAATATTTTATCATCAAAAATAACAAAAAAGGAAATCAAATTAATTGTCTTGTTTAGAAATGGAAAAACTTGGTTTGAAAACTGGAGGAGATGCAGTTTCAGCGGAAAAATGACAGCTGGTTCTTGAGCCACTCTTCTGTCAGGTCATCAGCATTTCTGGTTTCAAAGACCTGACAGAATAAAATGGATGCTATTAATACATTAAGTCTTAACACATATAAAAAAATATAGCATAAAATGGTCTAAATCATGTACATATTCTGTATTTTAAATGCTGTTTAAATGACAACAAAATTCTTTCAATTTGACATACACGTGGAGAACATTGTTGGTGGTCATTTAATGAAAGGAAAAACCCACCATATCCATAGAAATAACTTGAATGGCGAACATAAAATCTACAAAATCAAAATTCAGACATTGCTTTACAATGCTAATGCTTCAGCAGAAGGAAAAAGAAAAATGCATGAAACAGACCTGGACAAAAATGATGCAAAACCTTATAAGGCTATCACTGCAATCAAATATTCCTGTTACTGTCAGTGAGACTTCTGCTCTTCTCAGCAGGTATTTTGACCCATTCCTCATGAGCAAACTGCTTTGAAGGGCTTCTTTTCCAGACGGCATGTTTCAGCTCTTTTCATATCATCAATAGGATTTAGGTCAGGGCTCATAGAAGAACATGTCAGAATACTGTAGTCCCAATATTTTCCTCTTAACCATTACTGGATGTTTTTGTATGTGTGTTTTTGACTAGGTTGTCTAAGACCAAGCTTTCTGATAGTGGGCAGCACATTTCTCTTTAGAATTTTTGATAGTCTTGAGAATACATTGTAAGCTGCGGAAATTCAAGACAACCTGTGTCGGATGAAGCAAAGCAGCCCCAGAACATAAAGGAGTCTCCTTCATCCTTCTCAGTAGAGACAGCATACTTTTCTTGATATGCTTCATTTTTTCCATTAAAGTCCTGATAGAAAGCTTTATTTTTGTCTCATCTGTCCATAGAACATTCTCCCAGAAGCTTTGTGGCTTTATTACATCTCGTTTGGGAGATTTCAGTGTGGCTTTTTAATGGTTTGCTTTAAATGAGGGTAAATGAGTCTCCCATTAAATCCACTTTGGCTCAAACGACGGATGGTGTAATCCCACACTGATGTTCCTTAAGCTTGAAGTTCCCCTTTAATCTCTTTTACAAGTTTTTCCTGGGCTTTTTTGTTACCATTCGTGTTATCTGTTTCTTTGGCTCGTCATTAATTTCCCTCCCTTTGGGACGTCCAGGGAGGTTGGCTACATTCCCATGGAGCAACTCTAGTCATAAGAGCATCCAGCTGCTTTGAGATGGTCTTATAGCCTTTACCTTCAACATGATTGTCTATTATTTCCTTTTATCTCTTCCTCTGGTCTGTGTTGAGTGTGGTACGCACCATGTCACAGACTAGTGACTAGCTGTATCCCTATAAATAGAACCACCGATTATAAGATTATAGTGGTGTGATGCTAATTAGTGGACACACCTTGATTTAATATGTCCCTTTGTTTACCAATATTTTCAGTCTTTTCTAGGGGTACTATCTAATTCATTAGTTTATGGATGTAGCTCCAATATTCATATTTATATTTATACACAACGTTTTACAGTCCCTAACTACTACTTTTTGCTTGTACATACACCTGTAATATTATGTATATCCTGTCTAGCACTTCTGGATAGATGCAAACCACATTTTGTTGCTTTGTACTCATGACAGTGCAATGACAATAAAGTTGAATTCTATTCTATTTTAAACCATTCTGTTGAAGCATTGTTCCAAATCAATGTCTGAGTTAAATTTGTTTGCTTTCATAGATTTTTTTTAATAACTTTTTTCAGATCCAAGTTATTTCTTTGACCATTGTGGGTCCTTTTCTTTTAACTAAACATGGATTACCAACAATTTTGTCCTTGCGTGTATATTTTAGTGTCAGAATAGCCAAATGTATGCATTTTAGTTTAGAATGTTTTATCCAATGTTTAAAAGAATGAAGAAATTATTAATTTTAATTAGCATTACATGACCTCCCATGACCATTGACATTACATGACAATGTACGGTAATTATAATTAGGTCAAAATGAACGTATTACCTTTGTGAGCTCCGCGGCTTGGACCAGTCGATTCTTGCTGCCTGCATACATCATTTGCTGCTCTGGCTTACACCCTGTAATATTAAAGAGGGTAGAAAAACAAACATATGTTGTATAAAATGTGTTTTTGTTGGGATTTTGTTTTGTAAACAAGTTATTCTGATTAGGCATGGTACCTAGCCACAACCAGATCTAATAATTGCCATCTGCCAATTATATCTAAAAAAATCACTTGAATAGAACCTGTTTGACAACATGGCTACTCAGTGGCACAGTGGGTAACACCGCTGCATTGCAGCAAGAAGGTTTCAGGTTGGATTCCCGGCCCGGGGCCTTTCTGCATGGACTTTGCATGTTCTCTCTGAGCATGCATGGGTTCTCTCCGGCTATTCCAGCTTCCTCCCACCATTCAAAAACTGTTAGGTTAATTGGCTTCTCTAAATTTGCCCAGTGATGGACTGGCAACCTGTCCAGGATGTACCCTGCCTCTTGCCCATAGACCGCTGGAGATAGGCACCAGCACCCCTCGTGACCCCATTTGGGATAAGCGTGATGGAAAATGGATGGATGCTTGACAACATGAAGTAGTGTAAAATATCCCAAAAGCAAAACATAAAACCCCAATCTAAAGAAAATCAAAATTAATGACTTATATCAGTTTGGAAAGCACTATACCGCAAAAAAAATCTAAATAAGAATTTTTTTTTTTGTAAATTAAGTGCTGTTTTTTTTTTATTGAGGAAGAAAGGGAGACACTTTACCAACGGAACAAGACAGTTTACATTTTAAAATAAGCATTGTCTTATTTCAAGTGCATATTATCTATTTATCTTATTTTAAGAGTAAAAATACTCATTCCATTGGCAAATCATCTTATTAACCTGGTGAAGCTAAGGGTAAATACACTTAATTGAAGACATTTTTACTTATTTCTAGATCGTTTTTGCAGTAATCATTTCAAAGACTTTGGGACTCCAGCGAACCTCACTGTGAACAGTTAATTAAAATATCACTGAATTGAAGAACATTTACTGTCTGTTTTTTAAATTGATGTTTTTTCTTCTTTCATATAAATATATAATTACACCTGCATGGGCAATTTTGTCTTACTATTTTTGAATTTTCTTGCTTTTTCATTACAAAAATCTAATAATAAAAAAAGTAGATGTTTTTGTAAATTTGTAAATTCCAACTCAGAATTCAATAAAGCTAGCCCTATTTTCATAGGACACATTTAAACTATAACAGTTTAGAGGCAAAGGTTGAGTTAAAAAGCTCTAATTACTTACCCATTGGGCTTGAGAAAATGAAACAGAGCGGATAAGACACCCTCCCATCGGCATGGATATATTTGTAGCTGTAGACAATATATGTGAGCTGTTGTCAAGGAGGATGAACTTTTTTTGTACAATTTAATGAATTATGCACATTTTTGATCTACCTCTCAGTTTTCATGTTGTTGCAGAGATTAAATCTTTTCCTAATATTAAAAAAGGTCTGGACTCAAACCAGCGAGCGTACCTTTGTGCTGGATTTTGCATATTGTGTCATAATCTGCGTCATTGTCACCAAATTCTAACTGTCTATGAAAGAGATGAAGACTAACGATGACTGGAAATTCAGTTAGGATATCTGGGTTGGCGCTCTGGCAGCTCGTCTCTCAGGTCATCCAATGAGATATCCTAGAAGATATTAGATGTGTTATTTCAAAGCAAAATAAATAAATGACTATCAGTTATTTTATTTGTTTCATTTACTTGTAATCAAAGATTACATCTTAAAAATTATTTCAAGCAGTTATATAACCAATAGAAAGGCCTTTATTGACATTATGGCAGTTTGATTCTTCTCATAAATTTTACTAGCTTTTTGCATATTTTTACAAGTATTGGATGATTTATCTTTGGTGATGATCTAAACACCTTTGAGTCTGGAAGGCCTTCTTCTCATAAACCATAATCCTTTGCTTCCTTCACAGATTCAAATCGGGGTTCTTAGATGGCTTTGATTACTTTTAAACATTACTTTGGACCTACCTCATATTCTTCTTCAAGGATAACAAGTTGTTTCTCCATGTCTATTTTCACTGAAATAAAGAAATTTGTTTTCATCTTTATGCATGTAAAAGAAAAACCTAATGTGCAAATTGATTTAAATTTCTTAAATGTTTAATTGTTCCAGAATGCAGTACTTACTTAGTATGGCTGCATTGTTGGTTTCTTTTCGGAATCTGAACTTTTTCAGTTTTTCTTTCAGACTGTCGTCCACTTCGCACACGACTAAAGAGCTCGACTGCAGATATATTGCAAAAAAAAAATGTGTATAATTAGAACTGCAATTCTAACTTTAATAAACATTTTTACCATTCTGACATGTTAAGAGCAGGAAGTGTTATGCTGCATGAGCAAGACTCTAGTTTCCTGTTTGAAAGTGGGAGATAAATCTTTGACTTGTCCATTACTGATAAAGTTAGCTGAAAATGTATCTTTTTTTATGTTAATGGATAGAATTTAAACAATTCCTTTAAAACTAAGCTGAAATAAAAACTAGTCATTGTGTCAGTTGCACATACCATTTTGAAAGGTTCCTGTCTTGTGTTACACCTTCTTGCTGAAACCGTTTGCTACAAATGGCTTCTCTCAGAATGTCAGGAGATCCTCCTTTATTTGGTGAAGAGAGGGCGGGCAGACAGCTAAGTTCTGTGGCAGGACTCTTTCCTCTTTTTACTGACACAAGAGCCCACTATTGCACAAGTAGTGCTGTGTGTTGTATATTTCTTTTTTTTTCTTTTTTTTTATAAAATGGAGATTAAAACAACCAAACAACCACAAAACAGAAATATTTTCCAATTTATCAGATTTATTTATTCATTTTTCTTTTTTTTCCTTTGTTCTCAAATCAGTCACCTTTTCATGCCACAGAGTTGTTTTGAGTTACTTTCACTTCTCAACTCCATGCAGATGATTTTGACGGAACATGTTTTGGTCACATGCCTTACGCCTTCCTTAGCTGGATCTGTTAACCACTCTAATTGATCATGACTCTTTTAAAGTTGCAAACCATTACCAACAAAAGAGTCAATCAGACTAAGAATCTATGGCTAAATGGAAAAACATTATATGTCCCAAAGATTAATTCCAGTACACTTTTGTTCAAAATATCTAAGGTGCAGATCAGTGATTAGGTAGAGTACCCAAAAATGGTACTTAAGTAAGTGTAACACTACTTCATCATATTTTCACTCCAGTAAAAGTAAAAAAAAGGTATTTGGTAAAAAGGCTTCTCAAGTACTGAGTAACTGATCTACTTACTACCCATGATTATAAAAAACGGATAAATATATTTTGAGTTATAAACCTTACAAAATCAATTGTCACAGTATGCAAGATCGTGTTAGGTTACAATATACTGTTTTCTGTATTGTCAATCAAACGCAGAAGATACGGCAGACACGGCATATAGAACTAAATAATAATTTAACCAATAAGCCTCCAGAAAAGAAGAATGTTAATCTCTCAATAGTGCATATTTGTTTAGAACAAGCTTGTTTTTTTAGTGAAGTTACTCACAATAGATAGTGTAATCAGAAAGTTTGCTTAAGTAGTAGCAGTGATATTGTATAATATTTTTTTGTCAAGTAAAACTAAAACGTACAATACTGTAAAACTACTCCTAAATGTAAAAATGTTCAACTGTAACTGAGTAAATGTTACTAGTTACTACCCAGATTAATCTATTATGCTGCAGGTGAAAGAATTGTAATAATTGTGAAACACCTGCTTCCACAGATGGTTATAGAATAGTTATTTTACTTATGATTTTTAATGAAAAGGGGATTTAGTATTTTATTACATTTCAACCACTTAAAAGACACAAGTATTCTCCACAAACATCATTTTGCCTATTGTGACTTGCAATGAAGGATCAAATTATTTAATGGTTACAGAAATAAGAAAGTGTGAAGTTTTATTAAATGCAAACAATTTGACAGATCCAATTTTGAGTCAATGGTTTCTCTGACATGATGAATTAAGTAAACTGCACACCACTTTTTGAAAGAACTGACAAATTTAAATGGAGAAGAGTTAGGGGTCAAGTACCAATCGCTATGGTAATCCCCAGTGTTCCTTTTGTGATCAATTGGCAAACTGAATGTCTCATAGGTTTGTTATTTGGAGCGTAGGACAAGGTGGTCATCAGAAAATTGCACATTTATTTATAAATATGTAATAAACTTAAACTATGTAAAGTTGTGAAGTTAAAATGTGGAATGAAAAAAGAAACTCTCATAAGTATTCAGTTTTTAAGTGAGCTCTGTTCCCAAGAACAATAAGAGATTGTTGAGAAGCTTTGTACTTCATAAAGTTGGGCATCCACCACTGCCATATGCTCCATCCAATAGTGTAAATATTGGTAAGCAGACACTGCAGTTGCTTAGGGGCCCACGACCTCTTAGGGGCCCCATGACTGACACCTGGTAGGCCTGCTTTGCAATTATGGACTAGGACGTCTCATTGCAGATGTAATGGTGCGGAAAAAATGCCGCTTAAGATCTACCTGATATTACAGTAACTGATTGTACCTTATTTATACACCAAGACCTGCCAGATTTCAACATAATGGTGAGCCGCTTAAACACGACACCAATAGCAAAGCAGGCAGTGGTACTTTTAATTACTATGTTAATAACTGTGTATAGTTCATTAGACGGCTGGTAATAATTACACTCATATAATATGTTTCAAACCGCAACAACGATCTTAAAAGAATGATGTATTTGACTATTTTATTTTTTACACTACGACTTGGAATTATGGGTAATCAAGAGCGTAGATTAAAACCATAACCGTTATGTACAATGTGTTTGTAACGATGGATACCAAAAAGAGGTACTTAAGCTGATTCCAGAAAAGAAAAAGCAAAGAGCTGCTGATTGGGTGTTGTACTTCATATGGGTCCCACCCAGATAATGTTGCTTACGGGCCTATTGTTGTGTCATTACGCCATTGCAGTTGGCCATCCACCATTGCCATATGCTCCATCCAATGGCGTAAATATTGGAAAGCAGAGACTGCAGTTGCTTGGGGGCCCCAAACCTCTTAGGGGCCCTGTCACTGACACCTGGTGGGCCCCCTTCGCAATTATGGACTAGGACGTAATGGTGTAAAAATTTCATCTTAAAATCCACCCGATATTAGGGTGATTGACCAGACCTGATTTATAAACCAAGACATGCCAGATTTCAACATGATGGTGAGCTGTTTAAACATGACACCAATAGCAAAGCAGACAGTGGTACTTTTAATTACTATGTTAATAACTGTGTATAATTCATTTGACGATTTTTTAAAACTGCAACAAAGATCTTAAAAGAACAATGTATTTGAGAATTTTATTTTTTTACTCTACGACTTGGAATTATGGGTAATCGAGAGCGTAGATTAAAACCATAACCGTTACGTACAATGTGTTAGCGACAACGGATACCCAAAAGTGGTACTTAAGCGGATTCCAGAAAAGAAAAAGCAAAGACCTGCTGGAAGAATGGAAAAAAACTTCCCAAAATGGGGGACGGGTAAGGGTCTGGGTGTTGAACTTCATATGGGGCCCAACCAGATAATATTGTTTAGGGGCTTATTGTTGTTTTGTTACGCCATTGCAGTTGGCCATCCACCATTGCCATATGCTCCATCAGTGAGCCTTGGGAGATGGTCACAAGATCCGGGTTAATTTAAAATCAGCTGAGACCCTAGTGTCTTTAGAACCTTTTTGTCATGTCTTACAAACCTGTTTTGTGAACTCTATTGTGGTGCATTTGGCTATTTTTAACTGATTTACTTATAAATATGTCAATCAACATTAACCTGTTTTATCTGTATATACAGTATCTATAATACACAAGCAAGAAGAATGACTAAATACAAAAGAATGTTTTAGTAGGAGTTCAGAGGGCAGCAGGCCAGACCAAAAACTTGGTATCAGTGACGATTAAATTCCTCCAAGGTTTAGTTAGGTGAACGACTGTCACCAACATAAGCCTTTGAAGGTTATCTGATTTCTGTGGGGGTATTTTTGACAACCTACAAACGAGACAACCGTCAAGGAAGCTTTGAAATGTCTGGAACAGTTGGGTGGAAAACTAGCTTACGTACGTGAAAACGTGTGACGATTTGCTTACGTCTTACGTCAACTCAAAAATCGAAGTGGATTTCTCCAGGCGTACACTCCTTGTTTTCTGTATCCCAACTAGCATTTCTGTTCATACGCCTGTTCAGAAATGTTACGGTTAAAACAACCATCGCTCGTAGCTGTCAATGACGGCTCTTAGCGTTTTACAACGCGGGGGAACTGAAAACCAGCGTTTCTGCCAGCTAAGCTAACGTAACTGCAACCGTTAGCAGAACTATTCCTACTCCTCTGTCGAGCTAGCTGTGGATTAGCACTTTAGCCTAGCTTGCTAACCAAGCACATCTGAGAAAGGTAAACATTTTTTTTAAATCCCATAAGGTATAATTAACAGTTCGTGTATATTTGTAATGTTATTAGACCTTTGCCTTCTCTTAGAGAGAAATTGCGTTTCATCAGACGGTTTTCGTGGCAAACTCTTTAAGTACAAACGGAGAAAATGTTTAGGAGCAGCGTCAACGCAAAACAATACACATCCCGAATCCCTCACCAGAGACTCGGCCGACCAGGCTAACTGCAGTTTACCGCTATTTATGAATGTTCAGCTGCACAGGGTTATGATTTTCAATGTATGTCACTTTTAAAATCACTAATCAAACACACACTGTTGGTAAGTTATATTCAGTATAGGATACAACGCTTAGTTTTTCACAGCCTGGTATAATGCTAAGAGAAGCCATTTGCCGTGATGAGAGTTAGCTCGTTTGACATTTACTTAAATCTCTCATTCCCTTTGCTGTGGAGGATTGATTTTCTTTTCGACTTTAGGGAAACTATAATAAGCCTAATTAGTTGTTTGACTGAATGTTTTAAATTGATGCTTAGTTTGTGTTTTTCTGTTAATATATTCATAATATGTTGCCCAGCAGCATCGGTTTCTCTTGTTTCTCTATTCCCTACATTTGTTTTCAATTCAATTCAGTTTATTCATATAGCTCCAATTCACAACACATGTCATCTCAAGGCACTTTACAGATCACAAGATCATACAGTCAAATTGAAAGTTTTCTAAGGAAAACCAGTTGATTGCTTTGAGTCATTGACTCTGAGGCAATCCCTCACACTAAGCATGGTCAGAACATGAAGGTTTATTTGCACATAGTTAGGAAACTGCTTTTGATAAAGTATCTCTTGTCTTGAACGCTTCTACTAATGTTGCTTTCTTTGTCGCTACCCTTGTTTGATTTGCATATTATTTTAAAATTCTCTTTCACTTAATTTTTTAAAAACTATTTTATCATTGTTTTTTTATTGTTTTTTTTTATTTGATTTTATAGGGAATAAACCTCAGTGGCTAGCATTTTATGTCCCATGTATTTTTCAAGATTCTGTTATGCCACAAACAACAAACTTAAATGTATTTGTTGTGAAGAGGCAACACAGAATAACTCGGAAGTAGAGGGGAACGGATTTTCAACTTTTCAGACATTTCTACAAATGAGAATTTGTTAAGTGTGTGTGTGTGTGTCTGAATTGAGTTTTACAGTATCAGTAAGTTGATAAGTCCCTTGTGGAAGTAGTTACAGTTGCAACCTTCTTTAGCATTGCTGTAAATGCTTTTATCAGTTTTCATTGTTTTGCTTCTCTTTTATGCAAAGATGAAAAATTGTTCTTCGCAGCTTTTAGGCTCTGCATTGGATTTTTAAAAAATTGGATATCAGTCTTTCTAAGTGGGTGTACTTATGACTGGGCTGTTCTAAAGCACACATATGCTTTTATCTGAACCAATTCTATCACAGCCTTAGTAGTTTGTTTTGGGTTGCTGTTCTGTTAGTAGGTATATCCCCACTTCCCTGTCCTGTGTCTGACTTCATCCATTCTGCAATTAACTTAGAAAAGCTTCCCCGTCAGACACAAATGTCTTCAGAGTATAATGCTTCCACCACGTTTTCCATCTGTGGAAGGTGTGTTCCTTCTACTCATCGAAAAAAGACAGATTGGCCAAATGCTTTGCATGCACCCCTATCTAAACTATGGTTGATGATGTCTTTTACAGCATTTAGGTCTTTGACTTTTCCTCCTGGATTATATAACTTCATCTATCCTCCCTTTTATCTTTACAAGCTTTCCTATTCTTACTACAGTTAAGCATACCTTTAATATGACACTGCTAGCATCATCCTTGCATGATGAGAAATTATAAACTGCCACATAGTGCAATAGATCGAACAAAACCTCAAGTGATATTTCAATATCTATTAAATAATATCCCAATAATGTTAAACTTGTTCCAGGAGGCTATCTTGTCCTATGTGGTATTTGGGCTGAATAGAAATAAACCCTGTCCATATTCACATTTATGTGTTGAATCCCAGTTAGATACATTGAAGTTGTTGGATCTAATGCGACGGATTGTTTAGGAGTACTTAAGTAAAGCGCTGTATGTTAATAACAATGGCAGTGGGTTAACATGAATACGCAGCATTTGGAGAAATGTTTTTAATTTTTGTTTGCTGCTTCAACAGGGAACAGATGATGTGAAATAAAAGAGCGCCGTTGGGAGCCATTACCGATTCTGGCTGACACCCAGTGAACATAAGACATCTTCCTACAGATCCAGACAGCATTCCTGTCTGTTGCTCATCCAGCACCTGAACCATGTGAGGACCCCTCGGTCTGATCTGAGGGGATCCCTGGACTGTTGAAACAAGGACCCCGCTGTGCGGGGAAGGACTCATCCTGTCTCTGTGTGACAGAGCAGCAAAACTACCAACTCCCCATCTAAACATTCCCATTTTCCCTACCAAGGGGACACGCCATGATGTTCCGAGATCAGGTGGGTATCCTCACAGATTGGTTCAAAGGCTGGAATGAGTGTGAACAGACGGTGGCACTCTTGTCACTTCTGAAGAGGGTGTCCCGCACCCAGGCTCGTTTTCTCCACATCTGCCTTGAACATTGGCTGGCAGACTGCACTGAGATCCACATCCTTGAAGCTGAGGCCAACAATGCAGGTAAGTAAAGCTTGCTGTTTATTATTTAAAAGTAGGCAATAAGACACATTATTTTAACTAAAGAACCACTGATTTGTTTTGAATTTTATTAGCAACTGTCAGCCAGTGGCATCAGGAGCCAAAGGAAAAGGTGGTTTCCTTGCTGTTGTCCCACTTGCCCCTGCTGCAGCCACGTAACTGTGAGGCCAAATGTGAGTACATGAAGCTGCTGCAGAAGGTGTTAACCCACACGATTGAGAGTAGCCTTTTTGTGGAAGAAAGCAGGCAACTGCTCTCCTATGCACTCATCCACCCTGCCACCACCCTGGATGATCGCACCTCACTTGCCTCCTGGCTAAATCACCTGGAGGAACACCTCTCTAGCGGTTATGCATCTCGGGCACCTCCGAGCCCTTACCACCCACGCCAGGGCTCAGATGAATGGCCCAGCTCTGCTGAGGTTCTTGACCCAGGCAATGCATGGTCAGACAAGTCCCCTTCATCTAGCACATCTCCTGCCGGCCAGAATGGACACATGCCTTTTCCAGGCGGGATGTCCTCTCCAGTTAACAGCAATAACACAGGTAATGGTACATTTTTACTTCTCAATTTGGGAGCTTCTTAGCCACCAGCTCTTTTATTAAAGATATTTTGGTCATACATGGATTGCTCCCTTGGCAGGTATGGTTGGGCAAATCCAGCCAAGCCCTCTGAAGAAGCCCATGCAGGGGATTCCCTCTAACTCCCAGGCTTGTGGTTCAGAGTGGGGCAGCCAGGATGACACAGGGGGGCGGCAGAACTTCATCTCCACAGATCATGCACCCCTTTCACCTCAGAGCAGCATAGCATCTTCAGGCAGTGAGCAGACAGAAGAGCAGGGCTCCGCTCGCAACACTTTCCTGGAGGATGGCAGCGGCATGAAAGGTCAGAGTTAATTAAATAACAAAGCCCTCAGGTGGCTCTGGTAAAATTAATCTGCTGTTGGTTCACTATAATACAGCCTTACTTTACTGGTGCTATAAAATGTGGTGTACTTTGTTATGCCGTATCAATTTCCCCTTATCTGCATTTAGAAATTGTAAATTCTAAAATTAGATCTGTTACAAAAATGATGTTGTAGCGCGTTTGACTGTATAACTGATGAGTCGTTGTCGTACGTTTTTCTCTTTGGTATTTGTACCAATAATTTAAAACATCCTGTGTGTGTTTATCTATGCATAATAATTTACAAAAGAAATCAGCAGATATGTAAATGCATTCCGTGCTTTGCTTAAAACCATTAGATTTTCATTAAGATTGGGTTTTCATAAGGTTATAGAGAACGATTTAAACGATTATCACTCAGAAATGTAAAATTTTCTTATGTTTTAAAAATAGTGTATATATATCTGAGTTCTATATTGTGTAAGAACACACACTTTTTTTTTCTATGAGTGAGTGTTTGATACTTTTTTTTTTACAGTTGAATAGTTAAAATATAGTTTTGTGCAGCTTTTTTAAAAGATTCAGAATATTCTAAAACATTAGTCTTTTATGTTATCTTGATACAAAGAAAAAAAAAATCCAGATTTTAAGAATATGGCAGCTTATCAATTGATCAATAGTCGATCAATAAAATTAAGCAACTTTACTTTGTTATCGATTAATAAATGTTACCACTAAGTCTTATAATATATACAGAAAGAATCCAAGTTCTATAACAACAGTTTTAGAGTCTCTTTACTCCAGTTAATGATTAATCGATTACTAAATTAGTTGAGGATTATTTCAATAATCGATTAATTGTTTCAGCCTTACTCTGAACCCTTTCATATCTACTGATTCAGGATTGCGATTTCCAGCCCTGTTTTCAAATAAGCAGCACCTTGATTTTGAAAAATGAAAAGTTTTAGAATTTGTGTGGAATACACTGTTTTATTTAGCACCTTTTTAGATGATAACTTTTTAATACCAGCTCAAGCTCTAATTAATTGAACTGCCTCTGTAAAGCCACTGTGTCTCATTCTTAGAATGACTTGGTGTTATTTTAGCGTCTGTGATACATTCCACAAAGTGAAAAGTTTGGCTTGGCTTAGCTTGGGTCTTATTAAACTCAGAATTATAAGGTTAATGTTTTTTAATCACCTCACATTCCTTGTTTATGAGATCTGTCCCTTGTGTTGTAGATGTTCCTGCGTGGTTAAAGAGCCTCCGTCTTCATAAATATGCATCCCTATTCTCTCAGATGACCTATGAGGAGATGATGATACTCACGGAGCAACATCTAGAATCTCAGGTGTTTCCATTTGTTTGGTTACCTTCCCTGCTTTCAAAGTGTGATTTCTGTAGCCTTCAAACTTGATGATACATCAGCTCTCAATGAGGCATGAAATTAAACAATCCACCCTATGGTTATATTGAGCCACTCACGCATTATACAATTGGTAGGATGTTTTTCCCCTTCCTGCTTGCCTGTATTGAAACAGATGGTGATTAGGTTTATTTAGTGCCTGTAAAAATTGCTCACTGTACCCTCAAGACATGGCTTCTCACACCATTTTGTCATTTTTCATCTGGCTTTTTCAGAATGTCACTAAAGGAGCCCGACACAAGATTGCGTTGAGTATCCAAAAGCTGCGAGAGAGACAAGGTGTTCTCAAGTCTTTAGAAAAGGTGATTAAGGTTTCTCTGTAGCTGAAAAAGGCAATAAACATTCCCTTTTGGGATTATATCATGAAAGTTTGTTTAGCTCTGTTGTATCTCACAACTATAGGAAATTATTGAAGCACATTGTTGTAACAGTTAAGTTTTTCTACAAGGTTTCATATTAAACCACTTTCATTTTACAGAAAAGTTAAACCTTTAGGCCAACATGTGCATTATTCTGAATGAGTTATCTCTGCATTGTGTGATACTGGTGCTCACATCTCCCGGCAGGATATTTTGGAGGGGGGGAACCTGCGAAATGCCCTCCAGGAGCTTCAGCAGATCATCATTACACCCATCAAGGCCTACAGTCCACCCAGCGCTGCACAAGCTGTCTCAGATGCCTCCAATTCCTCCACAGAAGGCACAAAAACAGAAGCAGATAAAGAGCCAACATCGGAGGATTTTCAGTCCCACAACCAACCCCCCTGTGACGGAGACTCTGCAGTCACACCTGTTTCAGATGGGGACATTGCAGGACAGTTTACACGCGTCATGGGAAAAGGTACATTTATAAGCATTTCAATTTTAGCATGTAGCTAATTTAAACTAAAACTGTTTCTAAACGAAAACAGAAATCTGTTAAACTCCTCTTTGTAAGATACATTTTTGCAACTTTAATACAATCCCAAACCCTGAAGGCTGTAAGCACAGTTAAAAATAGAAGAAAAAAAAATCCAGCTAGCTTATCTTTTTTTTTATGTTTTGTCATCAGTCTCATTATACCTGCTCATACCTATTCATGTTTTGTAAAAAGATTTATTTCCCTTAAAACCGTTCAACATTTTGTCATGTCCCCTGAATATATTTCATTGAGATTTTATATGATGGAGAAAGATAAGCTTTGAATAACTCTGAAATGGAAGCAAAATTAAACAGCTTTTCATTATTTTATAAAAAACAAACTGTCAATAGTTTGTAATGCTTAATAATTTGCCAGTGGTTTCTAAAACCACATTTCAGTCTAAAATCAGCTGCAAATCTTGTGGGTTTGTCTCTACAAAACCAGATTAAAACAATAAAGACATATTTAGCCCTTTTTTTCTTCAGACAGGTCAAGCACAGACAGATTGGAATTAGTTCATCTGATGAACTGCATTCTTTTAGGTTCAAACAACCAAATTTCTTTTAATTGGATTTAGTTCTGTACCTTGACTGGGTTATTCTAACTCATATTGCATTTACTCAAACATATTTATGATCATTTACCTCCTTGAAGATGTTTTTTAGTCTGTGGTTTTTCACAGTGGATTCAGTGTTTTCTCAATGAATTTGTTGCTGATGAGTTAATGGTGGGGGATATAAGGGGTCATGCACAACTGTGTCAAAACTATAAAATTACCTATATCACTGTGGTTAATATGCAACAAATGTTAACTGCATTTTATGAAAAAAGGTATCCATATTTATACAGTACCTGAATCAACACTGCATACATCAAATCAGAGATACCCACATAATGAGAATGAGTAAATAAGGAATCAGGTTAATATTTTAGCAGAAACAGTTTCAAAGGAAAAAAAGAGACTATATTAAAAATGATATTTTGAATTATATTTATGTCCAGCTTTGTTATCCAGGACAGAACCTTCGGCAGCTTGGCATACATTAGCTTTGAGGATGAGGCAGCTTTCTGTAAGACAGGGAACCAGGAGGAGACTAATGACAGTAACAGACAATTACAACAATTGTTTTCACATAAAGTCACTAAACTTAAAACACTGACAGGGGTCGCTACTTGGTCTGTAATTGTTTTTTTGGGGGAAAAATTGCTAGAGGTTTTGGTACTGACATGAAATCTCAGATGGTAACTTCTTAAGGCAGGTGGTTCTACTGAAATTCTTTATATACAGAGTAGCAGAGTAATGCAGGGCCAAATACAAAGTTATGCCACACTGCCACATCCACCCATCCCCCTCTGAACAATTATCTGCTGCTTTTCATGTGCATTTTTCTTAGTTACTATTACCTTTTTTGATTTAAAGTTATAAATCCCAAGTTAGAAACTTTCAATACTGCATTGGCCTCGTATATCTTTGTGTATTTACCATTGGTCATATAAATTGTTGTTTTGATATTTCAGTATGCACCCAGCTGCTGGTTTCAAGGCCAGATGAGGAAAACATTAGTTGTTACCTTCAACTTATTGAAAAATGTCTCGCACACGAGGTGAGAAGTTTTCTACCTTTTTTTTTTTTCTCAAACTTTTGAATTTATGCACGTTGTCTCAGTTCAGTTTTGTTTTGTCATCAGGCATTCACAGAAACTCACAAGAAAAGGCTGGTCACCTGGAAGCAACAGGTTCTTAAGCTGCTGCGCCTCTTCCCTCGGAAAACTATGCCTGACATGTCGGCTTACCGACAGAAAGGGTGAGACTTCGGGCCATTTACCTTCGAACTTCTGTTAAACAGCAAAATATGTCACATTGTCTTAATATAACCTTTTCGCTTGATTCGTCTTTCCTATTGGTTATCTCTTTTACTTCGCTTTCATTTCATTAGAGCTAGCTGTAGACAGACAGATCTTTTCAATTCTAATCTGTTCTCATTTATGGTTATGTGGTTTCAGCTGGAACTATGGGTCAAACTCCCTCCCCACAGCAGGCTCTGTGAGTGGAGGTGTAAGCCGAAGGGGCCAGAGGCAGTTCCAGATGACCCCTCGAGGACTCCCAGCTGGGCGCATGTGTCTTCCTGGTGGGATCGGTGGAGCATCTCCACGCCACACGCTCACTAATCCTGCATTAGCAGGACAGGGTAGACAAGTCAGTATTGCTATATTGCTACCGCTTAATAAAACCAGGTCTGTTGTTGTTGATAGTGATATGAAAATGCTTTGCAGAACGATATAACCCTCTTAAAATTAATCTGTTTTGTCAAGTGAAAGTCATAAACTTGGTATTCTTGGTATTAGGGATAGTGTTTTTTTAAGTCTATTGTCCATATCGATTTTTTTTTTTTTTCGCCGATATGTGTAGCTGGTTATTTTTTTACATTAAGGTATTTTTGGAGCAGATTCTTGAAGCCGTTATAATTTTTCTTTATTTAATGTTAAAAATGACAGTGTTACAAGTATTATACCTGTCTCAATTTAAACACAAAAGAAATATTTATTTACAAATCAAAGAAAACATTAGTGGGTAGCAAACGGAGGGAGCAGCAATGCATGTACTGGATGGACTAATAAATTAGCAAGGCAAGCACATGTCAGCCAAGGCCAAAGGATAAAAGATACCGGCCAGCTGGGGTAACAGCACATACGATATCACTGCTTGGTATCTTATGTGTGTAATTGGAAGACACTTTCTATACCATAAGTAATATTTTCCTCAGATGAAATTGTTTTAAATTGTAAATGGCCTGTACTCACCCATTCATATGCATACTGATGGTGGCAAGCTACATTGTAGCCACAGCTGCCCTGTTGCTCACTGACAGAAGTGAGGCTGCATTACACTGGCGCAGCAAGGCCCTCTGACCACCATCGTTAGGCAATACAGATGAGTAGGACACGACATTGAAAGCCAGAGCCTGGGATTGAACCCTGAACCCTTCGATTGCATATTCCTACATCCGACGACTTTCACCCCTAACCCAATCTAGTTTTAAATTCACTGAATCCTAATCACTCACCAGATTGGTATGGACCTCTTAATGCTGCTGGAGCACCGGGAACCTCTAATATCCTTTACGACCTGTACTCTGTTAATTAACTTCAGAAGGTTGGCAGATGCACTGGAATAGTTTGTTATATCTGGATAGAGGATGCTGGATAAGAGGTTTTATATTCTTATTTTAAAACATGTTCCAAGCAACAATTAGGCATAGGTATTAGTTGAGTATTATTCATTATTGTGAAATAATTTTGGAAAGTTCATTGCTTATGTGTAAAAAGACATAACACCTGTTGTAAAAAAAAAATCATTAATAAATAGTGTTAAAGAAAATGAACTGTGTACACGGCATCGGATTTGAACCAAGTATTAGCTTAGTTTGAGGAATATTAAAGGACTTTTCTGATCAATCTGCTCCCGCCAGTGCATCTCAGTGTTCCAGATGGGCCGCCCTTCTCATAAACATGTCTGTTTAACTTAAGACGGATGGGTCTGTTGCTAAATGGGTCATGTGACCTAAAGTGTTGCTTGATAGCAGCATGAGCTCCCCTGAAAGTTTGTTTAGTAACAAAACAGATATGACACTTACCTGATCAGATATATCTTTGGTTCTCTGATGTAGGATTTAATTGAGGGGGATGTCTTTACAAGTGAGTTCATCATGTGCTGATCCAATGGGTCTGCTGTTAGAATCCTAAACGAAAAGGGAAAATGTTTAGCATGCAACAGTGCAGTGCTACAAGTGGCCTTGCGCTGTGCTTAATTTGGAGGTTGTAGGACCTGTAACCTCCAAGCTTAGCATCCACTAGGGACACTTTACCTATACAGGTATAGCGTCCCCAGTGGATGAAACACTTGCCTTAGAACTAAACGTATATTTTAAGAAACATAAGCGTATATCATTTTCTTTTTTTTTACAGCTGCAAAGTTTGGAAGAGCATGTCCACTAGTATAAATAAGATTGATTTCTCATTGTGTCCTTTTCTCCACAGAGCCTGTGGTTTGCCAACCCTGGGGGCAGTAACAGTATGCCAAGTCAGAGTCGCAGCTCTGTGCAGCGGACCCATTCGCTGCCTGTTCACACTTCTCCACAAACCATGCTGATGTTCCAGCAGCAAGGTATAGTACAAGGTCTAGTGTGTTTCTATTGGTTTATTTTTATGCTCATGTTGTTGCACCTTCAAGCTATGGTTCTTATTTAAATGCTAATAAACTGTACACTTTTGATCAATGTGGACCTTAGATAGTATTTAACATTACGCATTGTTTCAGGTAAATATTTTTTCAAGCTGTAACTTATAAAAGTTCATATTTGGTTTAGGGCTGAAACAATTAATCGGATTAATTGTGATTAATTGATTATTGAAATAATTGTCAACTAATTTAGTTATCAGTTTATCGTTGAATGGAGTATAGACTGTGAAACACGCCTTTAGCTGACAGGGCGACCCACTTAGAGCAGGAATCATATCAAGAGTGTAAAAATATATGGATTAATGTAATTTGTATTAAATAAAAAATACAAAAAAAAAAAAACTGCATCTCACCTTATCTAACATAATGGGATATTTGCAGGTGATTGTACAAACAACTTATTTTTATATAGGTGGAGTTGTGGTAACTTTGTGTGACTCAGTATAACTATTTCATATTTGTTAATAAACACAGCTGTTTGTTGCATTTAGTGTGCTTCAAAGCATGCATAAAAAAGAGACAAAACATAAATGGGGATCGTAAATATTTATAAAATCTAAAATAAATTTGTGTTTTCTTTAGAATGCCAAGTTCCAGGTTCTGACCTGGAGATCAACCCCACGCTGGAGTCACTGTGCCTCAGTATGACGGAGCATGCCTTAGGGGGTAAGTGCCTCACTGGCATCTAGCTACCAGTCCCACTTGTTGGGAAACCACACACATTCTTCTACCTAAAGAATACCAGCTTGTCTCTGGTGAGAACATGAGTTTCCTCTGTTCAAATAGGCATTTTATATTTCATCTTTTTGAATGGTTGTAAAATGGGAATCAGCCAGTGTAAAGTTTTCATGTTTTTTTTTTTTTTTTTCAAATCAGCTCTAATTAATTGTTTATAAAATTTTACATTAAAACATTATTTTTTTTTTTTTTACCATCAACAGAGGCTTGTTTTTTATTATCCACATAAAGGAAACATCTACATGTCACTTTTACCTGGTTTTTAGGACAACATCTACCCTTCTCCTAATTGCTATATTTAGTAACCAGTCATTACCTTCTTTTTTGCCACATTCAGAAAGCCATAATGAATGTTGTCTTTTCTGAATTTGACCAATTTGTAATGTTTACATTGGTAATGCCTCCTGCCAAACTATGCTAATAGAATTTGGTCACACATTTAAAAAATTTGGCCAAAACAGTAGGAGATCTGTTGATTCTGGAACTTAAGCAGAGCTTTAGTAGAAGGCAGCTCAGATCTGGGCACTGCATTGTGTTGATTTTTTTATGTCCATAAAATAATCATTGTCATCAATCACCTGATTCTGTTTTACAAAAACATTATTTTAATGTTGACTTTAGAGACTAAATGCATAGAGGAAATAAAAAGTTCTCACTCCCAGACTGTCTAGATGTATTGCTTTTATTAAAGCACACATAAGCAAATCCCTTTATGCATCATGTGGGCTTTTTTTTAATTATTTTTATTTGTATTTTTTTCAATGTTCTCTTGTTTTCTTCACAGATGGAACTGACCGGACATCAACAATATGAAAAAAAGGAAATAGACTCTTCATTTGAGGCCTGCTCAGTTCAGCACAAAGATAGATGTATGCTCCAAAAGCCCAGGCAACGCAGTCACTACAATATGACAAAAAACTGTGTATATGTTCTCTAATATTTTTGTACTTTATTATATACAACTAAGTTTATTAAAATGGAGTACAGATGACTATTATATTGTAGAACAGAGGTTAACTGTGTCAGCTGTGCCATGCCACCTGCAGCAGGACTGTGGCATGGTGTGCAGCGGTTCAGTTTACCATGATATAAAAAAAAGAAGTGGATTGGTGCTGTCATAAAGGGTTCTGCCCTGAATTTGCTCTTCTTCTCTTGCTACCTTTGATCAAGGTTTTCTATCTACAACACACTGACAACCCCTTCACCACACACTCTAGGTTCTGAAAATGTCCAGCCACAAGTAAGGCACTTTTATTGACTTTGATATTAGGCACTAAATGTAACTGGCCCTGGTGGTAAAAACTCTGAGGTTTTCCCTGGACATCGGTAATAACCTGATTCCATAGGATGCTCTAGTCAGGGCTTTGAATTAAGGCAGATGTTTACTTTAGTTCACTCTAATGTTTTTCTTTTTTGAAAAAAGAAAAGAGAGGACCAAAAGAAATCAGAAATAGTTTGTATTTAAACTTTTGGACATACCCTTTTTTTCCCTTTGTTGTTTTACTTTGACATTTAAAGTTAAAGTGATTGTCCTCTAAGCATCTACAAAACCAAAGACAAGGGTTGTTTGTTTGTTGCTTCGAGAAAGATATTTGTAGTGAGTTGGAGCAGAATAAAAAAAAAACAAAAAAATGCAGTGCGAAACATTATTGCCAGCGCAAATTTGTCTCTTATTTTAATGTCCTCCTTATTAAATGATGATGAATCTCATTTTTGGTCAGGGACTCCCCCTAGGGGGCGGGGGGGTTAGTAAGAGCTAGTGAGGTTTGTTCTGTGCAGGAGCTAATTAGATATTGAATTGATAAAAGCACTGAGGCCATATTGTTTTCAAATAACCACCATAATGCTGGCCAGAGCTAGATAAATGAGAAAGGTCTCAGCCCTCTGGTTCTTTAGCTTTGGCTTTTGAAAATGAAAACAAGCTTAATCTTTTACAGAAATGCAAAAGAGCACGGCACCTAAACCTCACAACGCCCTTGTCCTTAAAAAAGGCCATTGTGATGATTTGATGAATCATTCTTATTCAAGGTGCTTGACGATGTCCATATTTTCTGTTTGTGTCTGTGTTTCAAGCTCAGAGCTCCACCATTATCATCTGGTATCAGTGTTGAACCATGAACTGTCTTTTAACAGCCTCTGTCTATGAATGTGACAGAGCCAGAGGTGCATGTCTGTGTGATTATGGTCTTTTGGATCACTTTTGGTTGCTTCATAAAGCAGGGATAACCATATATTATTTCAGCAGAGCCATAGGAGGTCTGTCTAGTAAAGATGGTTATTTACGGATATCTTTTCCAATTGTATTTCTATTCTCCCTTGATATTGATAACTTATGCTTATTTTCTGTAATTGCATGTTTTGCCACACTAATACAGCACTGTTGTAGATAGAGGACATGATGGCTTACGGTGTCAGGTGTCACCAACAGCTAGAAACCAGTCATCTTGCAACAAATGTATGTTTCATATCGCCTAGATGTCACTGTTTACATATTTCTGGGATAATCCCTGATTCATAATATTTGATGTCATGAGTAAAATATTGTCTTGCATCGTAATGCATAAAAGAACTAAAGCCCTCTCGTACTTTGAGATAGGTGGGTCTAAAAGAAAAAAAAACATCCTCTCACGCAGATCTGTGAATTAAAATGGCACTCAAGATTTTCCAGATTATGCTTTACAAACAGCTGCTCTGGCCATGTGATTAAACTGTTAGCTGTCATGTCCTGGTAAACTGTTCATGTGGTGCCTAAAGTGCAAAACTGCAGCACTCGAAAACATTTATTTTAAAAGTGGTTGCATTTTAGTCATGGATTTCTTCAGAGCAGGCTCTTGGATGGATCTGACTTAGTAAAAATCATTAGACTCCCTGTTAGAAAGAACTCCAGTGTGTGAAAAATGCAGGCTTTGTAAGACAGTCTTGTTTTTAACAGTCTTCATTAACTGTGTTGTTACAAATGGCTCAGATTATCCTTTTCATAGCCTCTGTTGCTTTCTAAAGCCTATTTATTGCTTTTAATGGACACAGAGGTACAATTCAGTTTTCTGCAAGTGTGTGTTAATGATGCTGATGCAGCAGGGGATGACGATGCTTATCTGAGCCAAATGTTGAAAGTAAACGGAACACTATCGACAGGCCAAGGAAAACGTTTACTTCATGTTTACATTCCAGCGATTCAAGAAATGAGCTGGGAATGCATTTCATGAATTTAGCCTGGTTTATATAAACATGTTAGGATTCAAAATAAGAGGTACAGAGCCTGTGTCATATGGAGACATCTACCAAGTGTTGCCCAGGGTTTATAATAGTTCAATTCTGCAGCCAGCTGTAGGTTAAACTGCGCATATTTGTCTTGTACAATTTATATTTAATTATGAATTACTTTTCCCCAGACATTTTCTAATGTTTTGTGAACTTTTTGCATCACATGCTTTGTTCTACTTTTTTACTGTCATGTGTGTGAATGGTCTGAAGTGCAACATCTGTCAGATCAAGACAGTCCAAATAAAGAGGTTCAGTTCTTTTGCAACTAAACATTTTTCTGTCCACTTCCTGATTTACTTTTTTTTACTTTTTTTTTTTACATTAAATATGAATTTTATTACTGAACATAAAAATGGTTTCCTTGTTTGCTTTTACTTCAGAAATCCGTCTCAATCGCTTGTAGCTTTCACTTCCGGGTCAAACGTTTTTCCTCCTCCCACGGATGCTAATCAGGCTAACAGCGGCCAGCTACATTTTTTTTTATGTCCTTTAACGGGGAGAGACATTCAGCTTTACATGGAAACTTTATTACAACTGCTTACGGTGCGTATATTTTTTTGTGTGGCGTCGATTAAATTTAAAGTTTACACGTATTCACTTTATTAACCAAGTCGTTTCATCCCTGGACTCAAAAGAAGCAAAGTTAGCAGAGAACTAGCTGCTAAGCTAACTCTTCTTTTACAGAGCCTACCAGCTGACTTGGCGTAGCTTCTATGCTAACGTAGCATAAAAACATATTGATATCTTCACCCGTATTCATTTTCGGGAAGACGAAGCTACTTTTTGAAAATACGAAAAAAATAAATAAATAACGGAAATATGAACGTAATGAGATGAAGTTATATTCCACTTTCTTCGAAGAAATTAGAATATCTTAATGGGATTTGAGGAGACAGAACCTTAGTTTTTATATAAGATAAAAATTAAGATGTTTGCCATTAAACAAACAAACTGTTTGAACGAAACATCTGCATTGGGGTGGAAGTTTAAATTTTCTTTTGTACTTTACGTTAATTTACATCATAGATCACTCTGATATATCTTTATGCTTGTCAGTAGGATGCGATAAGGAAGGAAAATAGTTGCTCTGGCCACGTGATTAAAACTGTTAACTGTCACGTCCTGGTATGTCCCATTGTCCTGGAGTATAAAGAAAACACCCTGCACAGATCAATTTATTTGACCATTATGGTTAGGAGAGCAACAAAAAAAAAAAATCTAAGTGGCACTTTCCAGCCCTCAAAGGCTGTAACAATCTATTATTCAGTTGGTATTTAAGGATTTAAGTTTCCAAGATGATAGAACATGGCTAAAGAGAAACAAAAAACAAGGTGTTAATTTTTGTACCATATTTGATGGGTTAATTTCTTTCCTTAATTTGTGTCTGTTTTGGTTCTGTTTCTTCAAATTCAGCATTTTATCATCCAGTTTTTGTCAAATTTGGCTTTCCAACAGGGGCTGGCTCAAACTGGGAGCTTCATTTGGAAAGGTCTTTTTTCCGGATCAAACATGCAAAATAAAACCAATGCTTTATTGGCAGTACAAAAACACTTGTTTTGGAAAGTTAAAACTATATGCAAGTATGTTTTTAATGATAGAAATAAAAACTACTTTTGGTTTGTGAAAGTTTACTGACCAAGCAGCATCTTAGAAAAATCAGACCAAATATTATATTAATATTAAGGAAGGAAACCACCACTATATCCTGAAATACAAGCTCGATCGAAACATTTTAGAGTCGTAGAGTAGTCGGTCAATCGAACGGCCCACATTTCCAATCAGCATTACAAAATGGTGTGCAATATTTTGTCATGAATAACTGAATCACTAAAATATTATACAGAATAATTTCACAAGTAAAACCTTAACACGACATGACACTTGATTGAAAACTACTTAAAGGCTAAAAAACATTTTTTTAAATTGCATGTGAATGTTGACATGAAGGGTTTAAATGAAGTATCTATGTAAGCCTGTTTATACCATTACAGAACTTCACGGGAATTTTTTTCTAATGACATTTTGAAAGCATGTGCTTCAGCTGTAGAGAGGTGTAGCGCATCCTCCATGACATACTCAGCCCACAGCGTTCCCACTTCTCATCTTCACCTGTGATATGGAGAAGTTGTTTAGATCTGCTTACGCCATCTTTTTTCCGATTTCTGGCTGGTCTGAGGTCGTTAACCTCTAGCTTAAGGTTGTGTGCACTTCCTCCAGGTGTTTCTTGAGGTTACTTGTGCCATTTTCAACTGTAGACAGTTCTGTTGCCTGCCCGCCAAAACACAAAGCACATCTTATTGTGATGTTCGTTTTCCATTTTTATGACATAATTAAAATAATTGGAGTATAGCCAGCTGGCAATGTTGAATCGATTGTAGCCATATTGTTGTTGCTGCCTTCTTCCTCTGTTGTTTGAAACCTGTCTTCTTCTGTTTTAAAACCCTTTTCTTCTTCTGTTGTTTTAAAGCTGTCTTCTCCTGATATAAAACGACACTCCCTAAAGAGCAGTCTACTTTTTTTAAAAATTTGTTTTAAGCGGTTTGCCATGGAGTGTTCAGCTCAGATCATAACACTTTACCCACCTTAACAACTGTAATAATATTACCAAAATTGATTTGTCATGCATTATTTTACTCTTGCTGCTGAATATTACAGTAATGCGTTACTTTTGTTATGTGCTAACCCCAACACTGCCAATCAAAGAAACCGATCACCTGTACCTCTTACTTTGCAGCCTGTGGTGGCTTCACATGCAGCATATCTCCTTATTTCACACAGAACTTTTTTGCTTTGAAAGCAATGTGGAGTTTGCGTCTAGCAATGGAAAAATCCTCACAGGTGAAGCACATCAAAAGGCATCAATACACTGAATACAACGTGACATTTAATAAGAAATATATATAAAACTCAAGTTTCTACATTGGATTTGAATGCTGGTCCACTGCATTCCCATGCAAAACTTAAACCCTTTCACCATGGGGAGTATAAATTACAACAAATGATTTCTGCATGACAGTGCAACCTCCATAGAAGTTAATTTTGCACACTGGCTGTATCCTGCAAAAAACTCTGCTACACCCATCTCTCTTCCTAGTATCTTTGCTAATATATATATATATATATATATATATATATATATTTGTTTCACTCTTTTTTCGCATTGCGAGGGGTCATTGGTATCTCTTTATCCCTCCTTGTGTTTTGGACTGTGGTTGGGAAGCCAGATTTCCTGGAGAGAACGCATGCAGGGGCAGAATTCACCATCTTCATGCAGAAAGCCATATGCTAGGAATGAAACCCAAGAACTTCTTCCTGCAAGGCAACAGGGCTACAGCGCCTCGTCTCTGATCATATAAAGGATCAGATTTACTCAGTCTGACATTCTTGGTGGTAGAGTTTGAAGTATGTGTTTTCATCAAGTGTTTGTCAAGTTTTACGTTCATGAGAGAGAGCTGAAAGTAGTTGATTGAAAGAAATGGTTTACAATGGGATCTAGGGTTACTTGGAGAGGCTAATAGATATGGCATTAACTGTGGATTGGATATTACCACCTGCTGTGATCTTCTTGGTGTTGCAGCTAATTTTCTTGCCTGGAGTTCCCTTTGGGTAATGGGTTTTGTTCAAAAGCACCACAACCCCACTGGAGGATTTTCAATTTTGTGTTCTCTCCCAGAGTTGGTGAGAATCTAGTTACTATGCATAATATTATGCAGTGTTTAAAATATGGATATTTTAGATTAATGCTATTGGTAGTCTGCCAAAAATTTGGTCATCATTTGATGTTTTAGCACATGAAACAAAAGATCAACCATGAACACTGATATATCAGATACAAATTCAACTTTTTCGAAGTATTTAGATTCTTCAATCATAATAAAACAACAAAAAACTATTGGTTGTTTAAGAGAGGTTCAAGCACTATGTACTAATCAGATTCTGATTGTTTTCTCTGTTAAAACTTAAAGCATTTCTAAAAATTGTGTGTCAGTAGACTACAATAATTTAAAGCTTTCTATACATCTACTATTGGTGTAACTTATTGTTTTGTATCTGTGTAGAATAATTTCTTATGATAGCAAACAGTGATTTGATTTCTTATTTGTTTTTTGCAGGTTGTTTAACATCTATATGATCACTAATCTTGGACATGTATAGAAACATTCAAAGCCAGCGATGTGGATGGAAGAATTGCTGAAAGAAATCTGCACTTCCAAGTTATCAACTGACGGCTGTCTGGAGTGGTACAGTTGCATCTCCACATAATCCATGATGTCATTACCAAACGAGTCAGGAAACAGAGGGAAAGATCGAGAGAGGGGGGCCCGGCCAAAGGTCAGGCAGAGCCGGTCAGAGGAGAGAAGAGACTCAGGAGGTGGTCGGAAAGGCGGAAAGGGGAAGAAAAAAGGCCTCTCCTCGCATGAAGCTGTAGCTGAGCGGCCTGTCAGTGATGGGTTTGAGTATGGAGAACTGTTAAATGATCTGGAGGCAAAGGGCCAAACCTCCTCATCCCCTCAGGACACCTGGAAATGGCAGAGCTTCGATGTCACTGGATCGTTTTTGGGACAAAGTGCTGCAATTAAGCAAGGTCAAAGCACAGTTAACTCTGCCACAGAAATACAGGCTCTGTGTGATGCAGAGGGCCGAGGTTCAAGCAGCAGTCGCACTCTCAGGCAAAAAATCCAGGATGCAATGGGACAGTGTTTTCCAATAAAGACGCATAGTGCTGCAGCACCAGCTTCAACCCCTCAGGCCTTTTTATCATCAGCTGCCTGTGCCTCCTCCAGGCGGAAGATCCATCTCAGTGAACTGATGCTGGACGACTGCCCATTCCCTGTAGGATCAGAGCTGGCTCAGAAATGGTATCTCATCAAGCAACACACAGCCCCCATTACCCAGCCTCCGCTGTTAGATCCCTCAGTTGTGTGCAGTGTCCCAACTTCAGCAATGGCTGCTGTGGAAGACGTGGATGACAAGCTGCGAGAGCGCAGGCGCATCAGCATTGAGCAAGGAGTCGAGCCACCTCCCAATGCGGAGATCCACACATTTGAGGTGACAGCTCAAATTAACCCACTGTACAAGCATGGCCCCAAGCTGGCTCATGGCATGAATGAATTATCTGGGGCTGACAGAGCCTCTGCCCAGCAGCAGCAACAGCTTCTTCTCCAAAGACAGCAGCAACACCAGCTCTTGCTGCAGAGCTGCCTGGATACTCTTGATGAGGTCGCAGCCTCAGCATCTGCTTCTCTGCACTCCTCCGACATGTCCTCTGACCCTCTGGTTGACCCAGAGGTGACAACAAACAGTTTGACATTAAGATCCACACTTCCAAGCACAGAGCATCACAAATCCCAAGAAGGCTACCATTTTCACACTCAGATCGATTACATTCACTGTTTAGTCCCAGACTTGCTGCAGATTACTAATCTCCCGTGTTACTGGGGGGTCATGGACCGATATGAAGCGGAGACACTGCTGGAAGGAAAGCCTGAAGGCACCTTCTTGCTGCGTGACTCTGCCCAGGAAGACTACCTCTTCTCTGTCAGCTTCCGTCGCTACGGCCGGTCACTGCACGCACGCATTGAACAGTGGAACCACAACTTCAGCTTCGACGTCCACGACCCCAGCGTCTTTCACGCTCCCACAGTTACGGGGCTGTTGGAGCACTACAAGGACCCCAACTCTTGCATGTTCTTCGAGCCCCTTCTGTCCAACCCCATACACCGCACACACCCCTTCAGCCTGCAGCACGTCTGCCGAGCCGTCATAAGCAGCTGCACAACATACGACGGCATCAACATGCTCCCCATTCCAAATGCGCTGAAAAAACACTTGAAAGAATACCACTATAAGCAGAAAGTGCGAGTACGGAGGATGGATACGTGGTGGGAATGAAAAACAAGTTAACTCAGACTCAAGGACCCAGTCACATACAAGCCTTTTTTTGAAGTACTGTGCATAAATTCACATGACACTGTATTTATTTATTTTATTCCTGCTTCATGTAATAACAATCGTACTAAACCACACTGATAAGACAATGTGTTATCTCACTGATCTTGCACATTCAGCGTGATGTTAAGCTCAGATTAAACAGTTTCAGATTCATGCTGTTCCGTGTACTGCTTCTCATCTGTGTCTTCAAGCGAGACTAAATCATCTTAATTATTTGATGAGGGTTTGAATGACGATGATTATAATGGAGCTGCTCATCGATCACACACTGAGAAGCCTAAACACATCCTCTCGGGGATCGTCACTGAAGAGTGCAACACTTTTTCAGTATTGCAGTGGCGTGTAAAAAAAATACTCCTTTACCTTATTTCACAGTTTGTCCTATAAAAACACATAGTTTAGTACATTTTTCAAAAGATTTAGGTAGGGACCAACATAGAATAAAGGATACACTTGAAGTGAAACGAGGATAAGGTAAGATTTTATATCTTAAAATTTGGTATGAAATTGAATTAATTCTCTTTTAGACTGATATAACAAAATAAAGTCCAGTGCATTCCATTAAACCTCATCAGTACTTAGTTTAAGTTGAAATATATCGCGTATAGATACAATACAACCAAGGAGCTCACCACACAGACCTGGGATAAAGTAGGAGGATGAAACAAGCGTTAGGTTCTAAAACGATCCTACATTTAGAAAATAAGATTGCTCTTTCTGGTTGAGACAGAATAATCTGTTATAAGGGGTGTTAGTATGCTTTGGGGTATATTTTTCTCCCAAAGGGCAAAGAGAGATAGAGATGGTTGGAAGTTGGATAGACGGCATGTAAAGACTTGAGACTCATGAGTGTTTCCCTTCTAGCAGTACACAACCAGAGCTACCATGGGATGGCTTAGAGAAAAGCATTCATGGGATGGCTCTGAATCACATGTTCAGTTTAGTCAGTGTGAGTTTGAGCCATCCGAAAAATAATAGGCACCATTATTCAGGCTCTAGTTTTGTGAATCTAGTAGACATTCCAGAAGACTTGCAGCTGGTATTGTGCCAAAGCTGCCTCTTCCAGCTATTGAATCGAGCAAGAATACAACCCCCGGTAAAAATTAGGGAATCACCGCCTCGGCTGATTTTTATTCAGCTGTTTAATTTTGGTTTAAAAAAGCAGATCACAGACATGACACAAAACTAAAGTCATTTCAAATGGATATTGTCTTGGCTTTAAGAAACACCAAAAGAATTTTTTTAAAAAGCTGGTAGTCAGTAACTTTTACTTTTTTAGACCAAGCAGAGGGAAGAAATAAGGGAATCGTGAAAAAACAAAACGCTCCAACACTAGTACTAGTATTTTGTTGCACCACCTCTGATATTTAAAACAGCTTGCAGTCTTTGAGGCATGGACTTAATGAGTGACAAACACTACTCTCCATCAATCTGGCTCCAACTTTCTCTGATTGCAGTTGCCAGTTCAGCTTTGCTGCTTGGAGCCTTGTCATGGACCATTTTCTTCAACTTCCACCAAAGAATTTCAATTGGATTAAGATCCTGACTCTGCAGGCTATGACATTGACCTTATGTGTCTTTTTTTCAAGGAAAGTTTTCACTGTTTTTGCTCTATGGCGAGATGCATTATTATCTTGAAAAATAAATTAATCATCCGCAAACATCCTTTCAATTGATGGAATAAGAAAATTGTCCAAAAACTCCATGTTAACTTGTGCATTTATTGAAGTTGTATTTACAGCCATGCCTTAACATGACATGCAGCCCCATATCATCAATGACTGCTGAAATTTGCATGCTCTCTTCAGGCAATCATCTTTATAAGTCTCATTGGAACGGCACCAGACTAAAGCACCAGCATCATCACCTTGCCTAATGCAGATTCAAGATTCATCACTAAATATGACTTTCATCCAGCCATCCACAGTCAACGATGGCCTTTCCTTAGTCTAATGTAACCTGTTTTTTTTTTTTCTGTTTAGGTGTTAATGATGGCGTTCATTTAGCTTTCCTTTTTGTTAATCTCATATCCTTTAGGCGGTTTTAGACTTAGACAATTTTTTTTTATTTTCTATGCACAACTGACTGTACACAAAAAGAAATTTAGTTTTGTACAGCTCTAATGACATTTCCATTTCTTAAAGTGCAGCAGTGATCAAATGTAAACAGTGTGGGAGAAAAAAAACATGGTGCAAAAAGTGCATTGATATGGTAGTTCAGAAAATTAAATAGATAGGGTGCAATTTTGCAGGGTTTTGGATTGGTGTTGTCAATATGATTCAGAGTCTGTGACATGATTTAGAGTTTTTTCAACATTCAGCTGTCTGATGGCTGTGGGGAAGAAGCTGTTACAGAATCTGCTGGACCTGCATCAAATGCTTCAAAGCCAGAGGGCAGCAGGAAGAACAGGCAATGGTGGGGATGTGAAGGGTCGTTGATAATGTTACAGGCCTTGTTTCAAAGGACATCTCTGGCGTTGGAGTCATGATTCACGTCTGTCCACTTGGTCCATTCGATCCTCAGTTGTTTTGCATTTTTGTTTTTTTAAAACGTGTCGCTTTAAGTTTTCTGCCTTGATGTGTTGATGTCTTCCCTGGTCATCAGTATGTTTGCCTTTAACAATCTTCCCATGCCATTTATTTTTGGTCCAGATTTAAGACTCAGCTGAATGAACAACCAACATCTTTTGCAAAATTTTGTGATCATTTACCCTCTTAAGAGTTTGGTAAGTTAGAGTCAGGATTCATGTTAGTCCACTTGTAGCAGCTCTCCAAAGTTTGATCCAGTTTGATGCTGGTGATAGTTTTGGGGATGGAAATTTACAGGGTGATTTTAATATTTTTTCTTCAGAATTAAGTGATTCCTTATTTTTTCCTTCTGCTTGGTCTAAAAAAGTAACCGTTACTGACTACAACTTTTTTTTCTTGATTTCTTTTAGTGTTTCTTAAAGCTAGACAGCTGCCATTTGAAATAACTTTATTTTTGTGTGATATCTGTTATCTGCTTTTTTACTACAACATTAAACAACTGCATGAACATACGGTGAGGCTGCTGATTCCATAATTTTTGCCAGTGGTTGTACAAATGTTATGAACCTCCACCTTGTAGATTTCTTATTTGTGTGATATGTGAAACAGCTTTCTTTTTCTTTTAGACCATGACATTAATCACCAGGGTTTAGTTTTAGGCCGTAAGCCTGTGCTGTATTAAAGCTACCCCATATATTGATATACAGTTGAATTCAACTCAGCCTCTATTGCAGAATTAGTAGGCAGTCTGGAATTTGGTTAGTTTGGCCAAGTCTGGGTACATATGAAAAAGGGTATGGAAATACATTTTAATTTGCTAACAATTGCTTTTCTTATCGTCAAAAAAAATATTTGGGTTTTTAAAAATGAATGACTCCAGTTGTTGATGGTGGGTCTTAATATCAGTTCTTGTTTTTAGTTTTAAAAGTGTCCAGATTTATGTGATTAAAAAAAGTAAATAGCATATCTTCAATAAATTAGTCTCAAAATATTTAAGCAATTTGAAAAATATACATATTAGGAAATTAAAAAAACAAATTGAAATTGTTTTTCTTCATAATGCTTGTTTTTATTGATTATCGCAGATTTATCTGTTACAACACGGATCTGTTTCATATGTAGGGTTGATTATCAAATTATTTTGAGCAGAAAATATCAAGTACAAGTAAATGTATAGTTCATACAAATAAACAAATAACAGGTTATCCAGCTCAAAAAGGAGTGGGAAGAAGAAAAACATATTTACTCCCACCCCTTTTATTCCCAATAAGGATACTTAGAAACATAGCTGCTTCCCATCAATGTTAATAAAGCAAATAACAGAATATTGAAGAAAGGCGATACAAGCAATGGTTAGCATACAGGAACAAGACCATCAATGCAGATACCAACTATGGTAAGAAAACTAATGCCAGAAATTGCAAGCATGCAACAGCAGAAGCATCAAAGCAAATACTAACAATGGAAGAAGACAACTTAACCAAAAACGAACATGAATGGAGTACAAAAAGTAAAGACAATCATAAAAGTGTTATTTCTTTTACGCCTCAATCATCCTATATTGATCCCAAACTTCTTGTTTATGACATGACTTACTGTACATCTGTGAAGATTATCAGCTTGTTAGTTGGCATAAAAGATATTATTTTGAAGTTGATAAATTAGCCAATCACATACTTGGGTCTGTATGGTGTGCAATAGGGACAGTTCATCTTCTTTCATGATGACTTTAATACAGTAAATATGTAATAAAATGAATGCTAAAATAATTTTTATGGTGTCAAAAACTTTGAGTTCATGTATTAATAATTTTGAATTAGATTTCATGTGTTTCATAGTTAAAATAAGTTTAATTTTTAAAGGATATAATTATAGCACTTCAGGCTCTTAATACTTAGCTTAATTTATTCCATTTTATGTTTGACTCCTCAGTCATTCATTGCTCCTGGCATCATTTACATGCAATTCCCTTTCAAAAATGTCAGTTTATTCATTCACCATTTTATTTTTCACTGAGGAACCACTGAAAATGGTATGATTTTTTTTTAAAACAAGATAAATAATGAAGAGAAGAAACAACCCTGTTAGCAAGAATAGTCTGCTCCTCTGGCTTTTTAAGAGGAGCTACTGCTACATTTGGCTTATTGCAGTCTGATCCAGGAATTTAAATCACTGGTTTAATATTTCAGTAGTTTGGTAATAGATAAATCGTTGAAGTTTATTGATAAAACCAGAAGATATTCAAGTTGTGAAACATTTGACTAATAGAAGTAGTAACATGCCCCAGCCTAATAATTGGTAAACAGCCTGTACTCATCTATTGCTTTTTCCTGTACTTATATAGCAATTTTTCAAGCACTTTACACTACATTCAGTCATTCTTGCACCCGCTGATGGAGGCTAGCTACATTTAAACCACACTTGGGCTCACTAATAGAAATGAGGCTGGAGTACACTGGCTCCTCCAGGTCATCTGATCACCATCAGCAGGCAATGTGGGTAAAAGTGTCTTGCCCCAAAACAGAACAACACCGAAAGACAGACAGGCTTGAACCAACAACCCTCCGGTATCAGGACAAACTCCTTCAGCCCACGCCACTGTCACCCCAAGGAGCTCATAATAACTAAAACTTGCTTGACAAAATCCATATCTAACCTGCTTAATTCATTAAGCATCAGTCGTTTGAGACCATCCCCCAGTGGGCCCACCGCCTGCAGGAGGAACTGTGAGGGATTGGTGCAAAGAGGATTTGGCAGCAGTTAGAGGCGGGGCCTTGGTGATCCACAGACACTTAAACAGGCTCTGGGGACATGAGGTGTGTCCCTTTGCTTGTGTGGGAGATTGATAGTGCCAGGTAGAAATGGGAACACCTCCAAGCACAGCTCAGATCCCACATCCTTGACAGGAACTGGATTCTCTCCTACTCTGGAATATCATGGGGGGTGAGGCAAAATGGGATGGGTCTGCTGGTCACCTCAGCTAAGCTTTCTTGTATTTGAGTTACCTTTGATGAGTAAAAGGGGCCCATCCCTTCCAGAAGATGAGAGGCTTATGAGCAGCACGGCAAAACCAGGCCGTTTTCTTTTTAGCATTCCTGGTGGGGGTGCTGGATAGTGCCCCTGTTATGCAAATGAATGCTGTTATGACTTTATGCTATTGGATTAAATAATTCTCTGATCTTTGTGTTGTTCTGTAAACAAGCCCAACTGGCTGTGTGTTAGGACAACAAATGAAAGTGTGATTTGAGCTCAAATCATGGTCAAACTCGGCACATAGCTAAACTCACAACGACTTCTATTCAAAATATAAGAATATATTTTTAAGAAATAATTGAATTTTAGATCAAACATGTTTCAGTTGAAAACTTGACTAAACTATCAGACGTTAACTCAAGTAATTAGTTATGTCCACATAAAAAAAGGCAAATAAAATTGATTAAAAACCCTTATCAATGAAATTATGAAATTATATTTTACAGTTCAGCATTAAACAAAAGTTTTTATTGAATAGTTTGGAATTAGATCAAATTAACTTAAATAATTTCAAGCAATTAGGATCTGTTCAAACCAATTCACAATAGAAATCCCAGAGGTGGGTAATCAATCTTTTAAATGCTTTGCATAATTAGACATCAATAATTATTTAGATATTTTATTCTTAACATTCTGGGATTGTTCCTGAGAGAATAATTAGGAATAGGGACC